GCCCCGCCCCCGCTGCCGAAGCTCACGCTCGCGCGCGGCTGGCGCCTGCAGCTCTGCGGCGGCGGTGCTGCGCGGGCTCGAGGCCGTTTCAATTGAATGACCGGGAAGGGTGAGGCCCCGCGGTGGCCCGGGTTGGGGCCGGAGAGTCAGAGCGCCGGTGGCAGTCTCCTCCTACGGAAGGGAGCTTCGCGGGGAGGCCGGCCCCGCGTTCCCGGGTGGCAGGGGTTCGTAGTTGGTCGCGGGTGGGGCGGGGGCGGGAAGTCGCGGCCGGGCGGCCCCCGCCACAGTAAGTGCCGCTGGGCTCCTGCGTCCCTGTCCGGTTGTCGCGGCCCTTTCTCACACCTGCGACCCCGGAGGCCTTCCCAGCTACCCTCCCCCCGCGCTGTCATTCTCTGCCTTTACCTCCGAGGCACCCCGGCCCCGGCGCCCCGACGTCCAAACCGACCCGAGCTCCGGACGCCGCCCCGGGCGAGGGCGGGTCTCGGGGAGCAGGAGAGGCCCTCCCTGGGGGTAGCGGCTGGCGGCGGGGCTGGCGGCCCCTGCGATCCCGGGCCTGGGACACCTAGAGCCTCGGCCCTGCGGCCCCGCTCGCTGCGACGTCAGCTCCGCGCAAGCCTAAAACCCGGTGGGACCGGGGCCCCTGCCTTTCTCCAAACGCCGCCTTGCAGCGTTTCTGCAGGCGTCACTTGCAACCACCTGCAACGCGAGAACTCCAACCTGTTGAAAGTGCAGATTCCTAACTGGATCGGGAGGCGGGTGGGGGGCAGGGCCTAAGAATCTGGATGTCAATGGGTATCTTAGGGGGTTGTGCATATTAGATTTGGGCATCGGGAGATCCAACCACGGTGTAAATGTCTCAGTTTGTGCCCTAGGTATCCGTGCAGCGAACCCGGATCTTCGGAAAATTTTCCCGACACCTGCTGCCGTTGTTCAGCCCACAGTCCCTGGGCCTTTCCGGGTTTCCAGGGAAGTCGATTCGGAGACATGTCGGCCTCAGTGAACGAAAGCCTTCAGCTTCAGCTGCTGGAGATGGAAATGCTGTTTTCAATGTTTCCTAACCAAGAAGTCAAACTCGAGGATGTAAACGCCCCGAGGAATATAAAGCGGTATTTAGAAGGCGCAAGGGAGGCGCTGCCGCCCAATATTGAATTTGTGATTACGCTCCAGATTGAGGAGCCCAAGGTGGGTGCCTGCTTTTGTTTCAGGTGTTATTAAGTGTCCAGCTCTTAACTGAAACACCTGCTGCATGGGCCTCCTGTCCGGGAAACCCGTATTCCAGATGTGCGTTCCTCGGCTGGTTTGCAAGCAAAGCATGCCACATGGGCTGCTCCGTAAACTGTCTTCAGTAAATATCCGGAACTTTACATGAATGTGCACAGGTTTTAAACAAATATGCCCAGTCCTTTTATTGAAAACATCTTAGTCTTACACTCCCCGTATTCTGTTTACTCATCCAATGTCTTTCCATTCCTGCTGTACATTACCATTACAGGTGCCATGACGTTCACAGGTCTAAATAAACCAAGCTGGCTTTTAGGAAGGGAGTGAATGTTTTTGGACTTTTTCTTTTCATTGCACCGTATGCAGAAAGCAAATACACATGCAAAATGTGAATGTTAAAAATGAATTTACTTCCATCTTCTCATTCGTTTACCGCCAACAAAGTAGCACAGAGTAAGAAATGTTGGACTGGTCCTTGCAGAGCTGTTTTACCGACTTCCTGATCGTCCTTCAGGTGTTAGGCTCTCTGAGGAAGCTCCCTCCCTCCCTAGACTATATTCTGTTCTGATGGTTGCACACTGCAGCGGAACCCAGAGCCTTCTCCTGGTAATGCTTCTCATACGTGCCATTAAATACTTCCTATACGTAGCTGGTTTTTTTGGTCTCATGTGTGTCTCCTTCACTAGGCTCTAGACTACATGAAAACAGTAGTGTCTACCTACTCACCACAGTATACCAGCACAGGGCACCTACCATGTGTAATTCAGTAAATATTAAAAAGAATGAAAAAACAAGAATGCCTAAAGGTACAGAATTGTGTATATAAAGCAGTTGGTAGACAGCTGATAATGACTGTTAGCGAAGTCGTGCAGTTGCAACTGATAAACTAGCTTGCACGGTTTTATGGTATTTAACTGTCTGATTTTGATTTTGATTTTAAGGTGACAATTGACTTGCAAGTAACCATGCCGCACAGCTACCCCTATGTAGCACTGCAGCTATTTGCTCGGTCGTCTGATCTCGACAGACAACAGCAGCTACTTCTCAACAACGGTCTTGCTTCTTATATAGGGACTTTTGATCCAGGTGAGCTCTGTGTATGTGCGGCAATTCAGTGGCTCCAGGACAACAGTGCATCCTATTTCCTGAGCAGAAAGCTTGAGCAGGAACCATCCGCACAAGCAAAGCCCGTCAAGAACACGTTCCTCCGCATGTGGATCTACAGTCACCATATCTATCAGCAAGACCTACGGAAAAAGATTTTGGAGGCGGGGAAAAGGTTAGATGTGACTGGATTCTGCATGACAGGAAAGCCGGGTATCATCTGTGTGGAAGGTTTCAAGGAGCACTGTGAGGAGTTCTGGCACACGATCCGGTACCCCAACTGGAAGCACATTTCCTGTAAGCACACGGAGAGCACGGAGACGGAAGGAAATGGCAAGGACCTGCGCCTTTTCCACTCCTTTGAAGAATTACTCCTTGAGGCCCATGGCGACTATGGATTAAGGAATGATTATCACATGAATCTGGGTCAGTTCTTGGAATTCCTCAAAAAGCACAAAAGTGAGCATGTTTTTCAGATATTATTTGGTATTGAAAGCAAAAGTTCAGATTCCTAGGAAGTTACGGAGACCTGTGCTTATCATTTCGCCAAGTCAGTGTTTCTATTTTGTTGTTGTTGTTGTTGTTTTCCGGTACCGGGAATTGAACTCACGACCTTGCGCTTGCCAGGCAGGCGCTGTGCCGCCGAGCTAAAGCCCCAGCCCCCAGTGTTTCTATTAATAAGGCCAAATTCAAAGGGCCAGCGGCTCTGTAGCGTCTTCAGTAAGAACCCTAGCTCCAGATTTTCACCTGGTGATGGCACAAGTAGGCCTTGTAACTTTATAATAGCGCAATTGTGATGTTACCTGTCCGTTCCTGTGTTGTTATTTGAAAACTATTTCACTGTAAATAAACAGTCCATTTAACCAGTGAGGCTGATTTGATTAAGGAGTATAAAGCCACAAGTTAATGTTAGAAATCTAACTGTGGTTATGAATTCATGAATATGAACATTTCTCCTTTTCACGATGTCAGCACGTGGGCGACATACCAATTTGCATCGCTGGAAATGAATTCTAAATGAAAGAGCAAATGAGAATAAAGGAAAAGCATGTGTCTACTGCCGTTCACCCGCCTCTCAAGTGTATTCCTTTAGTCAAACTAGACAGTAGCAATAATAGGGAAACCGTGGTAGTGAAGCGTCGAGTGAAGGTAACGTGCCGTGCGATGTATTCCTCCTCTGCTCTTTGCTTCACAGAGGTATCAGCAACGATGACAGTGCTCTTAGTTCTGCACACAACACTCCCCTGGTTTTTCCCGTCACCCACATGCCTTTATGCGGTACCGTAGGGTATGGCGGGGCCCAGTGAGAGGACTTCACAGAGACCTCGTCGGAGGAAAAAACTAGTGTGCAAAGTCACTGACGGCCATCTCTCATGGAAATTCTAAGTTCCACCTTCGCATTTTCAAAGTGAGAGTTGATTTTAATGATTAAACCTCCCATTTAAGGCTCTTGCCCATCCCTTCATTAGTAGGTATCTGTTCTTCCGAGGTGTCCGGGGAACCTCCCAAGTGCTGAGGGGTGTCGTGAGCAGCCTCTACAGCTCTCCCGGTCGCCACGGCTGCCCTCAGCCTTGCCGCCCTTCCCCATGAGTAGTTCGTCCTCACACTGAGGCCAAGCACCCCGCTGATGGCCTCGGCCCTTCGGGATGCTGGCACTAGGTGATGGGCTTGAGTGACACGAGGGAGGGACGCCCGGCGCTCCGCTTGCGGCCCTGGTGCACATGCTGAGCGCGCGCATGCTGGGAGGAAGCAGCACCTTCCGGTTTTACTGTTAGTCCAGGAGGCAGACATGTCCTTCACAAGGGAGGACCCGCATCATCAGACTCCCCTGGGCCTGTGAGGCTTCAGACAGGGTCTTCCCGGAGCGCAGAGTAAGTTTCCTCTCAAGGCACAACGGTAAGCCCGGGCGCTGGTGCTGAGGCTGCCCGTTCATGTTTAAATCCCAGCCTTGGCAGGGAGTGGGGCGCGAGCTATGGCCTCACTCTTCACCTGTACACAACGGGGGGAAACATGACTACACCGCCAAAGATTCGCTACTCAGCATTCACCAGGAGTAAGAGAAACATACTGTGGCACCCCTTTCCCACGTAACTCCCCCACTACCAGTAAGTGGGATTAACAGTCACACTTAGAAAACAATTTACATAATAACTCAGGTTTATGAGCTTTACTCTTTCAGGAGCTATTCTCATAGTATTTCAGGACCTGCTTTTACATGCCAAATATACTCCTATAATTTTTACTATTTAGAGCAATAATAATAGACATTTATTGTGGGAGAAGCATAGGGTTTTTTTTTTTTAAATACATAAATTCAAAACCCATCTTTGTGTGAATACCGGTGGTTGTGTTTGTCCACCCTGAAAGGAGTGTATACAACATGTCCAGTGCCCTCATCCAGCCCCTACTTGGGAAATTGCCCTTTCTTTGTAGGGTTTAGGGGGAGAAAATGACTGGAATCCACTGGGGAAACATGCTCTTTATTCACGCTGCAGTGGCTTCTTAAAGCTCACTGAATTAAATCAAGCACTCTTCTCAATCCTTATTGGTCTGTGTTATATATCCCAAACTCTAAGTATCCTAGGAGTTGAGGATACTTGTGTAATTAAGAAGCGACCCAGTGAGTTGGCAGATATGACCATGGACCTCTAAAACATCCCTGCATTAAAAGGTTTCTTGATGGTCCACATGCCATCCAACACAGAGCTCGAAAAGATTGTCAGGGTGCCTCTATGCGGTCTTCGTGGAACTTCTCTGAACGAGGTAATTTTTCATTTGTTTTTTACCGCAAGAAGCCTAGCGGTAAGTCAAAGGAAGTTATCTTCTGAAGAGGGCATGGCTTGATACAGAACCCTGACCTGGCACAGCAACTCTGAGTCCTTGGATACTTAAGGTCGGTATGGTAGGACTGACATCGCCACAGAGAGCTTTTCCCGAGTCTAGCCAAAGCAAAAATTGTTTGCATGAACCCACAAATGGTCTGAGTAGTGCACCCCAAATGTAAAGCAGTCCAGCAGACACCCAGCGCTGCCCGTATTACAGCAGGACTGAAGTACACGATCTGTGCCTCAGAATGGAGGGCAGTGCCAGTATGCCCAACACGGGACCTTCACAAAACTCGGCTGAGGCGGCAGGCTCCTGTTTACCTTCCACCCTCTGGCATATTTCTTAGCAGGCGTTCAGGGAACCCAGGGACTGAGTTCTAGATCCCACCACAGAGCCTCGCCAGCTGGTGCCCAGCACGGCAGGGAGATGGTCAAGCTCCGGTACCAAGCGTGATATTCCAGCAGAGTTCATGTAACACTGCAAACTGATGATCTACGTTGTGTAACTAAGATATGCCAACTTTCGGGTGGCCTCTACTTAACTAGAATAAAGGAAAAACAAAAGCGTGGGCCAAGTTAAAAGCTCCATACTGACTTGCTCCACGCAGGAGAACTTGTCTCTCAGCAGCTGCAGCTGGAATCACGTCTGATTACGTTTGTGAACATGTGCTGCCACTCTGAGACCCACCTGTCTCCTGCGTATGCCAAAGGTCACTGATACGTGGTCAGAATCACATCCCCGCTTCTTTTGAAGCTTTTGAGGCTGGGATTTCTCACTGTAAATCTCCCGGTATCTCCTCTAGAATAATCTTTTATTTATTGATCAGAGACCTACTAGGAGAATACTGCCACAGAAGACATCAATTCTTACATAATAAACACCTACAATTTTAACCATCAATTTTAAAAAATGTATTTTTAAAGGAAGCAAATAAAACTCTTTGGGAGGATAAAGGACGGGCTCGGTGGTGTAACATGCACGTCCCACATAGCACGGTGGTTTAGAGACCCTACAAGCTTATGTTCACAGGGGTATCCAGTATCCTCCAAAGGCCTAGTGGCTGCATTTCTAAAGTGTTTTGTTATCCTAGAAGGAAGATTTGGGAAACATCACAGTTTTCATCGTCGTGGTCTTTCAGCTGTGTCTGTACATGGCAATGTGGTGGCTCCATCAAGCTTTCCCGCTGTTATACACATCCGGGGGGTCTACGTGGGCTGAACGTGGATTTAGTCCTAAACTGGGCTGGCATTCACCTGACAGGTCCTGGGGCTGCTCTGTAAGTTTTTCACACAAGTGTCCATTTTTTCTTGGTCAGCACCTATACGACTTGCTTAATTTTTTGAGCATCATTTCAGGCCAAGGGGCCTTTGATGAACTCTCCACCAATAAAACTTTCTGTGGGCCAAACAATTCTAAGTGCTTTTGACTTCTTTGTGTGATGACAACTGTTTCTACCTTGTGTCCAGTTAATAAATGCTGAAAAGAAAATGCTATTAATCCCTTGCCAACCCCAAGATTCTGATGTCTCCATTGAAAGATAAAAACCACTTTAACCTTAGCATTTCTCACAAGCTTCTCAGCAAGAAGTCATTAAAATGCTTTTCATGGGCTCCAGAGTTTCCCTGCCCAATGTATGTGAGAAGAAGGAGTCCCTGGTTGGTCCTCTCAGGAGACTTAGTTGTGGGATCTTTAAAGTGGGGCTAGTCAGATTGTACACCAACGTTGCTACCTTTGTAAAATTTTATTTTCCTTTATATTACTTCTAGGAAGGTTTCCGTTCCTATTCTCACATCGTGTAGGCCTTTACTAAGCCCATGTTTCACTCAACAACCTGAGTGAGCCAACGCAATCACTACCAGTTGCTCAAGGCTGCCCACCGAGTCCAGAATCTGCGGCAAGTGTACCCTTGTTAGTTCTGACCAATCTAAAAATTAGTATGTCTCTCCCTTAGTGTAACATTCTCAGAATCCCACGCATTTTCCTCGGGTTTGGGGGAATATGAATGAGCAAGGTACAGAATTCTTTTGTTCTGAGGCTTCCCCTAGGTCTTTTTAATTGTATCCACTCCTTCCCTTCTCCATGCTGTACTGCGATATTCTCTGTACAGAGATAGTAAGTACGAGGTAAACTACTTCCCCTTTGTAAGCTCAGCGTTAAGTCAGGCGAGGTCATTATAGGATCTTTGAGCAAGGCAGTAACCACCTCTTTAGGAGGAGGAGCCCCTAGTTTGATTGGCAAGGGAGAACATGCCAACTACCCAGGTTGGCAGGGACTCAGAAGCGTCCTAGGATGTAGGACTTCCAGTGCTCAAATACAGAGTACTATTTAGCATAATTTACAGTATCCTGAGTACTCCAAATCCCCCGGCCAAGAGACCTTCATCCCAAATCAGGGACCTACTGCTCTTGGTCACCACTGTAAGCAGGATGTTGGTTTTCAATTGTTTCTTGCTCACAGTACAAAGAGAGCAGAGTCTTCCCGCAAAAACATAGGAAGCTTTCTAGTTGTTGGACTAAAGTTGAGACTTTGAGCCTAAATTCTCTCTCCTCTACTTCAAATACTTGTTCCATTATTCAAAGTCCTCCTTTGTGAGGGTCTTTATGAGGTAGGATCCAAAATACAATGGCATTCAATGGAAAGGCAGGGTGATAAATTACTATGGTGTGTCCTCATCCACTTTATTCATTGGATCTGGCACTGTGCAACTTTCGATTCTTTTTTTTTTTTAATTTTCTTTTTGGTACCGAGAATTGAACTCAGGACCTTGCACTTGCCAGGCAGGCACTTATGCCGCTGAGCTGTATCACCAGCCCAACTTTTGATTCTTATCCAAGGTCAAAATGACCATGACAGGTAAAAGTTTGGAATCACTTCAGGACACTGAGCCAGCCAGGACAGTGCAACGACAGACGCTCATGAAAGGACTTACAGAACTGCTTCAAAAATTGGTAAAAATGATGGAATAAGTATTTGAGGTGAGGGGGAGTATTTTGAGGGGGATTAATGATAATGCATATTTTACTGTAATAAAAATTTTCTAACTGTAAGCCTTCAGTGTATTTTTAGATCATTTCTGTATTTTATATTTATCCCAGGAGCTGTTAATTTATGTTTTTTCTTTTATCTTTTGATTAGTCAAGGATTTTATTTTATTTTAGCTCTTCTTTTTTTTTATCATTTTGTATTATTTTTAGTAGTTACTTTACAGGTTACAATGTGCTTCCTTAATGTATTACAATATTCCTTGACTTACTACAGGTTTGTAGATTGTTCATGAAGTAGTACATTACTTGCTACAATAGTCTTTAAATTAACAATATACTCCTTCATGAATAATGTAAACTATACAATAGCATAATTCCATTAATCTCTCGTTTCCTTGTCCTACTCTTAATATATATTGTATGTGTACATATTTTGTTTGTTTTTGAGACAGGGTCTTGCTATGTACTTCAGACTGGCCTGTAATTCACTACGTAGCCCAGGCTGGACTAGAACTCACAGCAATTCTCCTGCCTCAGCCTCCAAAGCGCTGGGATTATAGGGATGTGCCACCACACTCAGCTTCCTACTTATTTTTATAAAACTTACATGCGGGGCTGGGGATTTAGCTCAGCGGCAAAAGCGCCTGCCTGGCAAGCGCAAGGTCGTGAGTTCGGTTCCCGGTACCGGAGAAAAACCAAAAAATAAAAAAAAAATAAAATAAAATAAAACTTACATGCATTATTTGTTTCAAATAGCCAATAGTCTTATTTCCCTTATGTTTACCCCTTGCAGTATTTTCACACTTCCACCTGGGATCGTTCTCCTTCTTCCTGAAGAACTTCCACTAACATGTCTGGCGGTGTAAGTCTTCAGCCCATGAAATATCTCCATTTTCATTTATCTGAAATGCTTTCGTTTCTGAAGGATATTTTCTGTGTACAAAATCTAAATTATCAGCTTTAGTCTTTCCGCATCTCTAGAATATCTTTCCACTAGCTCTCATTTTTTTTCTGCTAAGAAGTTTGCTGTCATTGTTCCTCCAAAGGTATCGTGTGTTTTCTTTAGCTGCATTTAAATGTTCTCTTTAGTGCTGGCCTTCAGCGGTCTGAGTGAGATACTCCTAGGTATGGTTTTCTTGTATTGGTCCTGCTTGGGGATTGCGGGCTCTCAATCTGTTGATGTTTTTCTTTGAGGAAATTCTTCTCAAATATTAATTGTACTCTGATCTCTCTCTTCACTCCTTCCAGCCCTCCAAATGCAAATATATTGTATCACTGCACATTAGGCCACACCTCTTCTTTCATTTTTCATCTCTCTCTGTGGTTCAGTTGGGACAGTTTCTAAGGATCAGGCCTTAAGGTCACTGATCCTTTCTTTTGCTGTTAAGCCCATCCAATGATTTCTTGTAACCAAACAATGAATTTTTAATTTCAAATATTTCATTTTTTAGATTTAAAATATGTACTTAATTCTTTCGATATTCCATTTTCATGATGAAATCCCATCTTTTCTTCAATTTTGTCTCTTCCCCTAGTTTCATTAACACAATTAGAGCAATTATTTTGAAGCCCATGTGTGATAATGCATCTGGACAGCCTGTGGATCTGCCCCTGTTGATGGTTTTTCCTCATTAGGGGATCGCATTTTTCCGCTTTTTCTATAGCTTTGTGTTTGGTTGTAGCCTGAGCATTGCATGTGAAAGCCCTCTAGAGACTTTCCTGAGCCAGGGCGCCCTGTGTCACTTCTCCGAGGGGAGGGGAGGGATTGAGAATCAGGAAGTAGCCTGATCAGGCTGGCTTTCAGCGTTAGTTCGTCCCTTGTACTTCTAAAAAGAGAAGGGCGTGTTTTGTATTATTACAGGGGTGGGATTCTGTTTTTCTACACATTTTAAAATAAATGCATCTACTTATCTAGAAACTTCAACTAAACGTGGCTTTATGGCAGAGATGTTGCTATGTGTTCACTAAATCTGTCTCATCTCCTAAGTCTGCATCCACAAAAAAAAAAAACCACTATATCTCAGTTTCTCTTGTCATAGCACTGGGGCCGCGTGACTCTTAGCTGGCAGAAAACAGGCTGAAAGGACTTGTCAATAAACCCCCTGTGTTAACCCTGCATGGCTTCCTGTCCTTTTGTTAACTTTTGAGGTCGCATGACAAAATGGCAGCATTACAAAATGGAAGGGCCCTCTCTCAGCTGCTTATATCCTCTGCCTGAAACCAATCAATCTCAATCTCTCTCCTTCTCTCCCTTCCTCCCTCTGCTAATTCCTACTACTTTATTTCTCACATCACTGCTTTAACATTTATTCCCTTTCCTTTAAATGCTCATTCTATAAAAGTTGTTAAATAGGTTAATTTTCTCGTCCTGAGTCTGTTTGTGTTTTTGAGACAGGGTCTCCCTATATAGTTCAGGCTGACCTTGAACTCACTGTGTAGCCCAGGCTGGCCTCAAACTTGAAGCAATCCTCCTACCTCTGCCTCCAGAGTGCGCCAACACGCCCAGGAACCCTCACTTCTCCTATGGACATACGCTGTTACAGCTACTGGCATATATATGTCCTTTCTACATTCAATACAGGGGTCACTAGCTCACTAGCTAGCATTTATGGCTTGTCTAAACTGAAATATAAGTATAAGAATGTAACTGCAATTTGAAGATGTGACATAACCAAAAAAGAAATCAAGAACATCTCAATAATCTTATGTTGCTTCCATGTTGAATTACATGAATTCTGCCTGTTTCTATTTTATCAATCTACTAGAAGATTTAACAAGATGTATGGGAAAGTGCTCTTCTACACTGCACCCTCATCAAAAGAGACAAAATTATAAGAAAAGATAAATTTGGATGTAAAGCCTCTCTCCTTTACTTATCAGCTCTATGAATTTGGCAAGTTACTTAAAACATCAACTTCGAAAGGAAACTGGGGATTACATTAAATAAGATAATGTACGTGGAGTAAATGACACTTGGTAAGTAACAACTAAAGCTCGTGTCATCATCTTCAAGAACAAAGAAGTCGATCACTCATCGCAGTATCTACCCTATGGCTGCATAAGTATTAAATCAATGAAGCTCATACTGAAAGCAGCAGTTACTAGAATTTCTTTAAAACTTACATGACCTCAATATCCATTATTAGGGTTCTAAAATGCAACTGTGTTTTAAGAAAAATAAGTTTTTTTATAATTTTATTCACTCACTGTTTTCTATGCTTTAGTAAGTCTTTTGCATAGGTAAACACATTTACAGTGATCTGACAACATGAAAACAGACAACCAATAGGTAAACATTCTGAATCTTTTCTAAATAACTACTGAGAAAACTTTTCAGGAGATGTTACCTTTGGAAAATCCCCAACCCATTCTACCCAAACAGAAATTAATTTGTGTAACCTTCGGTTTGTAGTAAAATCATTTCATAGAAGTTTATCTTGAACAGCTCATACTATTTTTTAGGTACCATGAATCAAACTCATGACCTCACACTTGCCAAGCAGGCACTTATGCCGCTGAGCTATGTTCCCGGCCCACTCATACTCTTTAAAGTGTTGTTTCAAAAACAAAATTCTACAAATAGCAAATGTTACTGTACCTGAGCATAAGAATTTAAAATTGTTGAGCCGGGTGCAGTGGTGCACACCTGCAATCCCAGCACTCAGGAGGCTGAGGCAGGAAGATCACCGTAAGTTCAGGGCCACCTGGCTACATAGGAGTTCAAGGCCAGCTTGGAATACATAACGAGTCACTAACATAAAAAATATTAAAATTGTTTTCATTAGTTCATTCATTAATATCTAAAGTAAATTAATAAATCTGGGATATAATGGAGGTATAATTATTCTTTCTTATAGAATGGCCTTGGAAATTAAAATATTTTAGTACCTGATGGAAAGGTAGTCTCTGATACTGGGGACACAGTTGCAAAACCTTCCGAACTAAGAGGAAAGTGAGTGAACCTGTGTTACACAGTAAGCGCTCAGGTGTCTGAGAGGTCCCTCAGGGGGACAGCCAGCTTGTGCGGAAACCGTGGCCTCGGTGCTGACCCTGAGATCTCCGTCTGAGGAAGCTGCCTCCGCGCGCAGCTCCTTCCCTGCGCTCCTGACTCTCAGCCTTTCTCGCAGCCTAGCTGTGCTGATCTGAAGATACCTCTGGACAGGGGCCACAGCCACACGGGCCCTCGCAACTGTGCGCTAGCTTAGGGACTGGGCATTTGGTCGGCGGGAAATAAAGGGGCTGTTAGTACGGATTTCTGACTGAGGAAATGACAAAAGATGCTAAAATCTAAGGCGCTCAAGGTGGTAAACAGCAGTGATCTTTGTTACAAATCTTAGAATTCAGTTGCACAAAAAGAATAAACATAATCTAAAAGTGGAATAATAATATAGCCGAAGTTATTTTTCTCTAAGCAACAAAATAGTGTTCTGTTTAGAAAAAGTTCATATGTGCCTAAATTCATTTCTATCTTTAAAAAAGTGGATTCCAACAAAATGGTCAGTAAAAGAATTATGAGTTTTAATGCTGATCATATCAATTTATTACTAATTTTGGTCTTCCCATTAGTTTCTTATATAAAAAGATTAAGTTCTCAATAGTAGGTACAACAGTATTCAGGGAGAATTTGGGCAGAAAAATTAAGACAGAAATCATAAATAACCAAAAGGTAAATGAAGCAGAACTACCTAGTATAACGTTTATCCTAATTTATATTAATCTTCATCCATGAATTTTTAGATGGTTAAAATAAAATGATCTTAGCCTAAGCACATTATGAATTATCATGAAAGATCCCAACCTTTAAAAATTAGGAAATTCTTCAAGAGCTCATTACTGAGGCTGAAAACTGCCACTATTACGCTACTGGTCCACTTTGGTCTGTATATTCTGGACCTCTTCAGGCCACGTGTAACGGTCAGGGAGAATCTGGTCATACTCCGTGCTATACATCTGAGAGCAGACAAATGCTTCTTTGTTTTGTGGTTCAGGGTAAACTGTGGCTGTCTTCTCCTGATATGCATCATTCACAATCTAGAAATAAAAGAATATCAATTATTTTAATGAATAGAGGATTCTAGGAGCACATGCTTGTAGAAGATTTTATCCATGTCAAAAATTAACCTATAATCTATCTTTCTGTTTCCAAGAAAATTAAGTATTACAACAAAATCACATAAACAAAGAAAGTATAAAATGAAAATGACATTATAAATCACATAGCAAGAGGAGGCAATGATACCAGAAACTAAGGAAAGTGTGAATGGTATGGAGCTATTTAAGTGTGATCCTAATAGGATTTCATACTTCAATTCAGTATGAGCTATTTAAATGTGATCCTAACAGGATCACACTATTTAAGTGTGATCCTAGTCTCACCATGTAGTTCAGCTGGCCTCGAAATCATGGCGATCCTCCTGCCTCAGCCTCCAGAGTACTACAATCACAGGCATGCGTGCCACACTTGGCAGTTCAGCCATTTTAAGTGAAAACTTAAACAAGTTTTGTGAATGCAGAGAACTGTGGAACCACTGGCATCCAGTTTTAGATTACTTCCAAGAACAGTAAGATCCCAGGGCCCGTCTGCGATGGCATGTTGCTTCTGTAAGAAAGCATACCATCTCCCCGCTGACCCTGAGCGCCTCCCCTTCCTGCTCCCAGGCACAGCAGTGCTGATCGCATGACCCGCTCCTTGTCAATGTCAAACACTCGGGAGGAGCAGCTTGCGTTTCACTGCTTTCCTGGTTCTCCCCTAACTTCACAATCTCTTGTGCTGAAACTGACTCTGTGAAAGTCTGGTATTTCTAAGGCCGGACTGCTTTTCTCTCCAATGTTCCGTTTGGTTCCACCTCCAGGAGGCTGAAATTGTCCGTCTCTAACTTCTGACATTGTGCTCAGTTTTGAGCCTCTTCTTAAAATCTTGGTCACTTCTCCGTAACTAGCTTCTTTCTTCTGTCTTCAGAGAGAATAGTAAACATCTTTTATCCTCAGATTCCCTTCTATATTTGCTCCCTTGGCCGGTCTCACCACACCCTGGGCTTCGCCACCATAACACGGGGATGACTTGCACATCTTTCTGTCTAGCCTCACTTCAAGTTCCAGTCATGTCCATCCACCTGTTAGAAATATACATCTGTGCGTTGGATACCTCTGATTAGTTCCTTTCTTTCCACACTATCTCCCCTGCTGACATAGACGATGTGGAAGGCCACCTCCCCCTCCTGCACTCAGCCACAGGACAGTAATGGTCTCCTCGCCCAACAAGCCCTTCTGTCTCCCTGCCTCCCGTCAGTGTCAAAAACCCGGCTCTCCACATTCTGTCCGCGCACTCTCTTTGTGGTGGATGGACAACTGGTGGTCAGCGTGTAACGCCCAGCTGAACTGAGTAAGCGTGGTGCTGGGAGTGGGAGGCCCACCTGGGGACTACTGCCAGCAGCATAAGAGGCAGAGCTGGAGGAGAAGAAGAGAGGCTGTTGGGAGCTGGTGGAAGCTGTAAGGAGCTGTTGATTCTGCTGGAGGAGCTCGTCATGCGGGCTTTCCTGATGAACCGGCTGTTCCCATCATCCAAGGAGCTTGGGACCTTGTCGCGGAGAATAGCTTCGGTTCACTTTGGGGGAGCTCTGGTCCTCACTCTGAGCATCGCTTCCTGGCTCTGGAGGGGAAGATGGTGCACTGCCCACTCTCCTGGAGAAGCTTGTCACATTGGCTTTGCTGATGGGAACTCACCTTTCCTCATTGTTGGAAGAGCTCGGGACCTCACTGTTGCTGAGGATGGCTGTGGTACTTTTCCGGAGAACTCTGGTTCTTACTTTGAGCGTTGCTTCCTGGCTCCAGGGCAGATCCCTCAGCCTGCTAGCACAGATTCTTCATACCACTGGCACAGACTTTCTAGCTTCCAGCACTGACCTTCGGGCCTTCCCAGCGCTGATCCATGAAACAGGCCTGCATGAGACATTGTCGTGGGCTCTGGGCCTCCAGTTGGATGTGTGGGAGTCACTGTAATGGGCTCTAGGTCTTTAGCTGGACTTACGCGGGACACTACTGTGGGATCCAGGCCCTCAGCTGGATCCTTTAGTCTGTAGTGTGTGGACAGATTTCCCGCACTCTCTCTGTATAGCATTCTTTGGGTGACTATTATAAATAATTTTATAAAATATGTGTCCTGTATTATATTGTTCTCCTTGCAAAAACCCCAACGCAAAACACTATTCTTCCACTGTTCGAGGTACATCTACATCTCTTTAGATCCCTCCCTTTCTCTCATTACATGCTAACTTCTTTTCATCACAATTGTCAAAATTAACTTAAATGTTAATATGCTGTCCAGCATATTAATAGTTCAAACTAGTTAAAAATCAGGAAGTACATTTTTTTTTTTTTTTTGGTTTTTCTCCGGTACCGGAAACCGAACTCACGGTCTTGCACTTGCCAGGCAGGCGCTTTGCCGCTGAGCTAAATCCCCAGCCCAGGAAGTACATATTGTTAGAAAACATGAGCATAGTCTCACAAACAGGTAAACAAACAGATTATCAGCTAGAGTTTGGTGGTAGTTTACTGCTTTTAAAGAAATCTACCTTCAGGCAACAAGAAAAATGACGATATATGAATCCTTTAAACACTGTTGTTTAAATAAACTCGCAAATAGCTCAAACTAGGGATTGTTAGACCAAGAGCAATTTGGTTTCCAGGGGACATCTGACAATGTCTGGCAACATTCCTGATTGTGACTACAGTGCAGATGCCGCAGCTAGCTGCAGAGCAGAGGCCGTGAGCTGCTAAACACACTGGAGCAGCACAACCTCCGTAACCCAGCCACCCTGCTCCAAGGGCTGAGGTTGAAAACCCCAGTTTAAACACACAACTACTGTCACAGGCTGAGTTTTACTTCCTCCCACCCCCGATTCTTGTGCTGAAGTCCTAACTACCAACGTTGTGGAATGTGCCTGGATGGGGAGATACGGCCTTTGAAGAGATACTGCAGTTAAAGTGAGGCTGGAGGGTGAGCCCTAACCCAGACTGACTGGCGTCCCTGCAAGAAGAGGGGAGAGGACACACAAGGAGACACCAGAGGTGCACATGCCCGGAGACAGCGCGAGGGCAGCCACCTTCGAGCCAAGCAGCGCGGCCTCGGGAGAAACCCGTCTCGGACTGCAAGCCTCCAGAACATCAGAAAAGAAATTCTGTTGTTTAAGCAACCCGGTCTATGGTACTTGGTTATGGAAGCCCCAGCCAATTAATACAACTATACTTCAAGAAGCCAACCTCCCTCTCAGTTTAGTACAGAAGATGTTCCCGCTTTTAGATTCTTCTTGGTTAACTCTTCCAAATGCCCATCTGCCACCCTAACAGCTTGTGAGCTCTTTGCCCTCCTTTCCTTCCGCCCAGCACTGAGACCTCAGTCTTTTAAGATGCCTCACATCAGAGGCACGTGCACTTCGCAGGTGGTTTCAGATCTAAATGTCATTCCACCGCATATTCAGTAATTTGGCCGTTATCACAAGTGTGATACAGAAAAAGTATAACTGTAGTAAGGGGAAATAAAATGTGAGGAACTAGACTACAAGAAATACCTCATGAATTACTTAAATTATAGGAGAAAAAGAACAATAGGGTAATTAATGATTCAGCTCAATTCTTCTATTCCTCTCTCAGGATGAAACGTACCTCCTAACATTCATGAAGTCACTGCGTCTCATTTCCCTGTATCTGAAACAACCAACTGACGCAGGTACACGTGTCATGGAAGCAGATGCTTAATATTAAAAAAGTCAGCCTTCGTCCGAGAAGGAAGGAGAAATAGTCAGACTCGAGCATGAGTGACTTTACCTTTACTGCAATTTTCAGCGAAACATCTCTAATAGTATTCAAAGGAGGATAGAGTCGTCCTTCTTCGAGGTGTTTATCTAATACTTGCTGAGATATAACCTTAAAAAAAAGAGAAGAGAAATATTTATATAGCACACCACACAGGGTAGTAGGCGTGCAGGTAACGAAGGAAATGGCAATCATACAATTTGTTGTGCATTTTTATTAATACACAATGGCGGCACATAATGATTACATGCTTGTCCACATATTCACTGGTCCATGTACACACCCCACCTCAGTTCTTTTCCTCGTCACCTTCCCTCCACCGCCCTTTTATTTTGCCACAACAGATTCATTTGCTTATAAGTGCTTAGAAAGCTAATTATATATGCAGATTAACATCTTTTTTCCTCGTATCTTTTATTTCCCACTTTGTTTTTATATTGAGTTTTTCAGGAATGACAATTATATAATTTTATCTCCTTTTTATATCCATCTAAAAAAATTGAGCCCAAGAAAAGTATGCTCATTGGCGGGATCGCACAATCAGGGAAAAAGGTGGGAACAGAATCCAGGTTTCCACTCACTCCTATTCCTTTTCATGGTTCCATAAAACGTTGGATGCTGTCCAATTACTGCACTAGGAGGACAGGAGAGAAAAGAAAGGAAGAAGAGGATGACAGAATTAGTGGGAAAGGAGCCTTCAGATATGGAAGGCAGCTACCCAAGGCAAAGTGTGTGATTACTCCCACTCATATACCCTCAGTAGGCAGGTACAGCCGGAGGCTGAGGAAGCCACGCCAGGCTCAAGGCATCAGCAGGATTCCTGATCATAGAACAGCAATGGCATTCGCTGTCCCCGGATCGTCCCCTAGTTCTAAATCAAACAGCATTAAACGATTTAGTGAACGCTTCTGAGGCAGAGAGGTAGACTCGGCAACCTTGGGGCTCACCACAGCTCTAAGACCTTCCGTGTCCAGGTAGGTCGGAGAAAGGGTGAAAGAGCAGACGGGTCTTCCTACCTGCTTCTTTATGTGTCAATCAGGCATAAAACTGTGAACTGTTTATTTCTCACTGACTCACAATAGTCTCTAACACTTAGTAGCTACTTAATTAACACTTGGTGAGTGAACTGAAAGTTATGGGATTTTACTGGGATGGCATTAAGAGAAAAAAACAGATTGGATGAAAAATTATTATAAATAATGATTCAAATAAAAGAAAACCATTTTAGGCTAATACTCTACTGAGCAGAGGTATTTTTAACACCTCTCGCTTCTACTGTTCTGCAAAGGAGTCCGCCCGATTAAATCAGCTGGAGCTTCTTACGTGTTAAAGTGAAGGCTTCTGGGGGCGTCCCCTTGTTACCACCTGCTCAGAGGAGAGAGGAGCAGCAGAGACGCAGTCACACGGTGGCCGGAGGCTCACGCTCCAGTGCGGGGTGAGCCCAGCCCTGCATCCTGACTGTGATTACTATCTGTTTGAATTTTGGCAGATTAATTAATACTCTGAAGTCCAGTTTTCTCATTAGTAATGTATAATTGATGACAGTTTCCAACTCGTGGCATTAAGTAATCTAAATGCCAGCGAAGAATTTACACATTATCTATCAACGTGTTCAGTGAATCTAGGCTATTTCATTTTAAAAAGGACAAATAACTTAGCCAGCATGGCGAAGTATAAGTGAAACAGCACTGGGGTCAGCTCTAGCTTTATATCAGATTAGCCTATCAGCTATCTGATCTGGGAGCAAGTCAACCAACTTCAAATTTTTTCAGCCGTTCAGACGACCAAGGTGTATGCCCATGACTAACATTCCGCAGGCATTCAGTGTCATTGCTTTGAAGAGACCAGGAGTAGTCACAAGATGGCTGAGTAAAAAAGAACCATTCTAAACCCTTCCTCACACAGAGAGGGACACAATAAATTGTGGGACAGGGTCAAGCAGCAAACAAGTGACCATGGGAGCCTCACTGAAATGTAAGGAGCTGACTACAGGCGTGCTGTGCCTTGCTAAGTTTAAATGCGTCCTTCCAGGTCACGTGTCAGCAGCTTGCTCCTCAGTGTGGCAACGACGGTGTGGAACCTTCGGCAGATGGAGCGTGGAGGGAGGGCCCCGGTCAGGCGGAGCTGGACAAGAACCCTGGCTCTCCCCGCCTCCTCTCACACATGCCCACCATCCCGCACGGGGCCCTCGCCAGAGCTTGTGCCATGCTGTTTGGACTTCTGGTCTCCCAAACTGTGGGATAAATAAAACTTTTTCTTTATAAAGTTAGTCTGCCTGAGGCCTTTCATTTATAACTCGAAATGGGGGCTGGGGATTTAGCTCAGGGGCACAGGGCCTGCCTGGCAAGCGTGAGGTTGTGAGTTCGATTCCCGGTACCGGCAAAAGACAACAACAATAACAAAAAATACTAAATTCGGTGTATGGGTCAGATGGTTCACTTGCCCAGGCTTTCTCAGGAGCTTACATTTGGGGCTGGGGATTTAGCTCAGTGGCACAGCGCCTGCCTGGCAAGCGCAAGGTCGTGAGTTCGGTTCCCGGTACTGAAAAAATAAATAAATAAATAAATAACTTGAAATGGACTTAACACATAGTGGGAAAGGAATGAGCACTGAGGAGTTCTAATCTTGCTCTCATTATTGACTCATTCGAAAGCCTACCTGCTGCCCTTGCTATGCCATTAATGTCTCTAACTGCACTGTGGCTGATTTCAAGTACTCTCTCCACCTAATTCAGACAGTGTTATGGCAGCTAGGTTTTTGGCCATCCAGCGGCTTCTGCACATGCTGCTGTCCCTGTGACCGCCCTGGGTATCCTCTGGGCAGACACCAGAAAGAGACGGCGCAAGATGAATGGAGAAGACCCCAGCAGGGGGCTCAGGCAGGGCTGGGTGACGGGGGAAGGCCAAAGTCTGTCTCCTCGGTGTGGACACGGGTGAGCAGTCTATTCAGAGACCATCCTATCGACTACCAGGGAGCACCGTGTGCCTCAGGAGAGTCCGGAAGACTGCTCCCCGCGTGCGGGACAAGTTAACAATCTCCACGTCACACAGAAGGGTCCAGAAATAGCATTTTAGATTGGTGCCAATAAATGAGAGCTCTAGTGCCATGTAAGATGAAACTAGTATTTTTACTACAGTTTTAACAGTTATTAAATCTGGCTTGCCAAGCGAAAACTCACTACATCTCTGATACGTTGTTTTTGTTAACTATCAAACATAACCTGGACAAGGAGGTCTCTCCTCTCTTTGGGCCATGCAGCAGTGAAGGGCACAGTACTGCATTCATTCTTCTTGCTAAGCGGTATGCGGCGCTCTGTTTAATTCCACTTCACAAGTATTAAGTGTTTCCGCTTTGTGTATAACACTGCCTGGATGCTACCAGAACTCTGAAAGTATACGGAAGACTGTCTTTAAAGAAAATAATCAGCCGGGTGTAGTGGCCCATGCCTATAGTTCCAGTACTCGGGGAGGCTGAAGCAGGAGGACCACAACTTTGAGGCCAGCCTAGGAAACTCAGTGAGATATCAAAATAAAAAATTAAAAAGGTCAGGGGATGTAGCTCACTGTGAAAATCCTGGGCCCTGTGTTCAATCTCCAATACCACCAAAAAATCTACAATTTAATTAATCTTTTAAAATATGAAGGTTTTCTAAAAAAAATACACATTCTAATCTTTTAAAACTACGATGTTTTGAGGAATATAACACAACTAGGAATAAAATTAAGTATCAGTATGCTTCTTCGAAGGACCACCACAGCTTGTAAGTCATGCAATTAAAGCTGATTACTTATAAATATGAACAATGAATTGCTGTAGAGGCTGTGAAATGTGATTTCTTATTACTTCTGTTAAATAAACTATATGAGATGGAGGGAAAAAGAGGAAGCATGGCTAGGGGGAAAGATCGAGACAAGCGATATCTGCCACACACTCAAGGATGTGGTCAGGGTAAGCAGTGCCCTCAAGGACAGGCTAGGCAGGTGGAGGAAAAGTCTCAGGGCTTTCCAGAGAGCGCAGGCACTAAAGCAGCTATGCAGGTGGCCACATGCATGGGGTGTCTGAAGGCTCTGGGATGAGGCAGAGTGACAGGAATGACGGGCTTCTAAGGTCTGGTGCCTGCTTGCAGAAAGGATGTCACTGTTATGAATGCTGAGGGTGAGGAAAGACAGTAAGTATGGTTTTAAGCCTACTGTCCTTGAGGACATGGCAAGATACTTGTGGGGAATTACTTAGTCGGTAACTGGAGTTAAGAGGAAAGATGAGAATAGGCATACACAGATTTAACCACTACTAGGGTGAGGATAACAGAAATGAATGGGTGAAATATCTGAAAGTATATGAAAAACAGCAGAAGAGAGAACAAAGAAATGAATGCTAGTGTGTGTGTGTGGGGGGTCATTCTTAGTTAAAAGAGAGAAGACAAAACAATAAATATAATTCAAGAAACAGGAATGCTGCGTTGAAGACTGACAGAAAACCAGAGATATAGTATGAAAGTTCTGCTAGCTGTGATAAGAAAAGTACTGGGTATATCATATTTTTTTTCTTTGAAGTTTTTTGGGGAATGATCCCTACTCTTCCTCAGAAATGAAAACTATTTTTCATAACCTTTGCCACTAGAGGGTGCTAGCGTTGTTTAGCAAGAGAACCTCTGGCTACATAATCTTTCTTCTGATGTGTGCTGTTTTAGAAAGCAGTGATGACACTTTCCTCAACGTAAAAGCAACTTTAAAATGCTCTTGTAGTAAGTGAGACATCTACTTCCCTTTAGCAATCTTTGCATTACAGAAAGCCTGAGACAGTAGGTGTCACGCTTTTAAACACAGTGAAGAAAAGAAGACAGGAGCAGAACATTAGCCTCCAAACACCGGCGCTCACAAAATGAGCCAGGTGGTAACCACTGGGGTACCCCGCTGTGGGTGACATCAGTATCGGAGGTGTCTTGGCCTATATTCTTGGGCCTTCTCTTCACAACAGAAAGAAGAGCATTTTTGCGGGATAAATATACTTGCATAATGATCAAGTTATATTTGATTCAGTTCAGCATGTAATATGTCACAAGTTTCTCACTCACGAGTTACGTCTTGTTCAAATCTGAAAACATGGTATCAACCACATGAACGTTCTGATTATCCACAGTTCCTGATTTTACAAATACATGGCAATCACTGTTCTCCCCTGAAGATTAGGAGAAACTGATGCGGAGGGGGCGTGAAACTCGTAACATTCTTATGCCATGAGAAATAAAGACCTTGGTCTCTCCTCCAACAGCTTCGTGTCTTCTGCCAGTATATTCAAAACTAGGGCCAACTTGTTAGCTTGCAAGTAGAGTGAAAATCACCTTTTTCAAGGTTCCTGATAGTACGAAATTCCCTACTAGGCCTGTTCTGACATTCAGAGAATTTTTCCTGAAGGGTCACTTTTCTTGTCTTTTTAAATGATTTTATAAACGATTTTCCACTTTTGCTGGCTTGGTTCCTGTCTTTTGTACTGAACATGTAATGGTAGACACTTCCACTACATTTACATCAGACTTTTTTAAACCTTCAAAATGCCATTGTCTAGCAAGGTTCTCAATGGAGAAATATTTACCATGTAACTCTCACTTGGAAACAGTATTTTACTCATCTCATTATTGTCACAGAATCTGATCAGCAGTATGAATAAAAAAGTGTTCCTTCTATGAAAAGAAAGCACCATTTATGCTAAAGTATCGAGAAGGAAACTTTTATTCATGACTCCATGTGAGTTTGATCCCACTCCGTGTCCGCTAATGGAAAAGATTGTTTTCTTTTTCAGACTTTAGTTTTCTAGAAAGGGAGCTGAGAGGCTAGATGAAGCAAATGAGACAATTGAGCCCGAGCCCACTTGACAGCCCTGCAGACCCGGCGTCCCACAGTACCTCAGCGGTAGTGAGAAAGACTTTGTCCGTGATGTTCCTCAGTCCACACGCCACCACCCCAAGAGCAACTCCAGGGAACACATAGGAATTGTTGCCCTGGCCAGGATACAGGGTGCGTCCGTCCGGAAGAGTGACTGGATCGAAAGGACTGCCACTGGCAAAAATTGCACGTCCCTGCAACACAAAACACTAACTTTAAAAGAAGTAGGTTATTTTAAACCTAATGGATTATAACCCAACTATCCTACACCTGAAATATGAGTGCTCAGAAAAACACCCAACTTTTCATGAACTTCCAAGTAAGTCTAGGCAAGCTTTTGTGTGGTGAGCAACAGGTTCTGGAGTGAGAGATTATGATTCTTCTCTATTTTACATTTGTTCCCAGGAGAAGGTGAAGCACAAGATAGGCTCCCACCATCACTGGGTTCTCTGCAGTGCTCCAACCCACAGACCCGTCAACCACTTCCACACAGGTTTCCAGCTAAAGATTTCTAACGATAAAAAGAGGCAGATTCATATTAAGAGTATTGGAAATACCATTAATTCAGGCAAGGGTTTAATTTGACTTTCAGTATTTTATGTCTAACAATATAGAACAGTACGTCAGATTCATAAGAAAGCGTTAAGGCCCGTTATTTTATACTATTTAATAATTTTCTATATGTGTATGGCAGATGAGTCTTTAAACTCTTGAGGCCAATATACCATGACAAAATAATTCAACACTTGTTTATTTTGTGCTTCCTATGTACAAAGCAGTATGCCAAAATTTTGTTCTTACTCAAAAAGTTAAGTTTTTTTCCCTTTAAAGATTTTAGGGCTACTGAGGAATGTGAGAAATCATCTCAATTTATAGATGAAATAAACATTAAAACAGTGAAATACTGATGTTATTCTAAATAAGGGCAGTGAGCAATAGAGTTCTTCTTCCCCCAAAATTAATTCTAGTAATGAACTGTGAGGAATATAGTATTAAAGAACTACAGCCATCAAGTTCTGACTGGTGCAGAGTTAACTTTGTGATTGTTCATCCTTTGGGTTACTTTTTACTTGCAAAATAAAGGTTTTACATGGATCTGACTTAAACTCTATCTTGTTGTAAGGACATTTTCATGTCTCTGAAGGAACAAAACTCTCTTGCCAACCTATCACTCATACATGTTAGTATAAACATAGCATAAAACAACTTTTTTACACGAACAGTGGAGTACTGAAGCCTTGAGGAGTTCTATCCCAGCCTGGCCGGATACCAAGACAGCTATCCAAATGTTCCACCCATGGCATCAAAATCCAAACCCAAAATTTAGCAAAGCAAAAATTAGACTGTGGTTTCATAGTATATGCTTCAATGTTGGGAATAGCTAGTTAAAAGCTATTTTAATAACTATCTAAAACCAAGCTTTTTCCTTTTTATTTAACTTTTATATTTAAATCTTAGATACTTCTAAATCACTAGAGGAAAACTACCACTGAAACTTAACAAAATTTATTTTATTTTATTTAAGAAGACAAGTGCTACAACAACACTCAAGAAAAGGGAGTAGTTCTCATCCCTCTTATCTGTTCACTTTTCTTTCAATCTTATTTCTACAGTTTTTAAAGGTCACATGGTAAGCGGCTTAGATATTCCAGGTTTCCCTATGATTAACAACATTGATTCGTAAGACACCAGTTGCACCTTACCTGAGTTATCTTATAGCACTGCTCTGCGGAACATTCTGCTTTGCTGGTTGGATTACTCAAAGCAAAAATAATGGGCCGCTCATTACAGGCAGCCATGTCTTTGAGAATCTGCTCTGTGAAGGCGCCGCCAATGGCAGCAACTCCTAGTACGGACAGGAGAAGTCGGTGATTAGGGCTGTCATGGACTAACCGCCTCAAGAAACCCACACCCGCAACACAAGGAAGTATGGCAGGTCACTGTCTGGCAGGCCCTAAACCCAATAAAGAATATTTTCATTAAAGTACGATGGTAAACAGAACTGCTTATTAACTCCAACAATCTTCTTGTTATAAATCAGCAAGTACCTTTAAAAATTACAGATACAGCATTTGACTAGTAAGATACTAGATTACTGGCTAATCACTTGGAATGCCAATTACAGGCATTTGTATCGGGACACTAAATGTGCAATATGACCACTCTCTATAAGCAATAAGCTCAATATATTCTAGTCTATCAGGCTACAAAAGCAATTATGTTTTATAACCCAGTGTGAACATCTAAGACTATCATCTCATTCATCTGGAAAACTGGAGTACCACTCATCAAAATAATTTTAACAGCAGAATAAAGCAATCAGCATAATGAAAATGGAAAGCCGAAAGATTATTGAAAGAACACATTCTGTGGAAGAATGCTAAAAGCTTAGTAAAATTCCTGTCACAGAGTAAGTAGTTTTTATTGTAATTATCATCATTACTCTCAATATAATCAACTATTCATAAGAGCTTCAAGGATCAGAGTGGGATGCAAAGTAAAGATGGACATACACACATAAAATAACAGATAAACTTCCACAATTTCCTTTGGGATTGTTTTTAAGTACACAGATTTGGCAGTATGACACTACACACCTTACTGTGCACGCCCAATGCACAAGCATTACATGAAGTGCTACAAGGCACGCAGAGATGTCTGAGATACGATTCCTGTCCTCCAGGAGGCTCGAGGTCAGTTTTCCTCAACCTTAGCACCGCTGGCGTTTTGAGCTGAATTAATGTCTTGTCTCACGGCTATCCTGCACATTGTAGGGTTATTTAAGAGCATCCCTGGCCTCTCCTTACAAGATGTCCGTAGTCCCTTCTACCTCTCAAAGGTCCCCCTTTTTTTTCTCCAAGCCTAACTGTATCCGGCCTTATTAAAGATATTTTCATGAACAATCATGGGATTTCATGCAGGACACGGACATACAATCGCTAACTGTATACAACACTTTTCAAACTCCCTTTGGAGTTACGACAACTAAAACCTAGTATCTGCAGATCCGCCTAATGCTCCCCAGGAACACAAGCCCTCCCACTGGAGTTGGACTGTCTCTCTGAGGTAATCAAGCCAGGAAAAGCGCCAAATAGGCCAGGTCACAGCAGGCTGACAGTTAGCAAGGGGCCACACACCCCAGTAATCCCAAGATGGAACTGAACTCCGAGACCTACAAGTAGGTGTCCACGGGGTGCTGTTACTGTAGTGACCAGAATTTTGTTTAGAATTCCAGGGGTTAGAATTTCAAACAAAGCTAAATTATGTCTGAATAAATGAGGGTGGAAAGGAAAAGGGGAAAAAATCCTTACCTATGAGGGCAGTTGGCTTTATTTCTTGAACAATGGCTTCTAGGTTCTTCATTTCTTTATGTTCGTGGGCAAACTTCTCTTTCTCGGGTGTTAAGGAAGCGCGTCCCTAAGAAAAGCAAATGCGAGGAAGTGAGAAATCTGCCAAACACAGGTCAAAGAACTCTTAGGATAGCAGGTGCAAGAAAAATATACACTGAATGTTTGAAATCAAAAACCTGTTGTCATAGCAAAAGAGACATGGCCAGTAATCCCTCTGAAAATACCGTCTCTCGCTTATCCCACCGTTCTCCCCACTTTCTAAACCAGCTCTGCAAGTACTCTTGTAGCGTCTTTACAGAGTGTGATCAAAAATTGGGTGAATGCAGCTGCTGCGTGTCATGCAACAAAAAGCAAGCTTGTGAAAATACCATGATGTCTCCTCTCCTACCTCAATCATGGGACCTGGCATTTTGTAACTTCCGGCTCTTCCCCAAAGTAAAACACAACTATAAAAGGTAAATGTTTTGAATCAATTCAGGACACCGAGGCAGCTATGACAACACAACTAAAGACACTCACAGAGGAGGACTTCCAGAACTGCACCAGAAAGTGGCAAGAACAGCAGGGTAAGTGTGCTGGAAGTAAGGGGGAGTATTTTGAGGGGTACTAATGTGTCTTTTACTGTAAGAATTTTTAACTTAAGCCTTCATTGTATTTTTTTAATCACACCTCACATTGCCTATCAGTACTATGATAAATATTATTAATATTTTAATGTACAATGTACAGTAGCTATTCTTAAAGTCCTTTTTATAATTGGCAGAGTATTATTTCGTTCATTCTTTAAAAAAATACATAGCAGGCAATGTTCTAACAAAAGTTTTTCTCTCATTTAATTATTTAATACTAAAAATCTTATTTCTACAGAAATCTGTGAGAAACGTTAACAAGTAGTAATTTAAAATATCAGTAAAATAATGGCATTGTTTACTACTGATTATCTGTATTTGCCTCGTAAGCTAGAACTGGTGTTAGCTACATGCAGTACCAATTTATCTGCTCTTAAGAGAACTTGAAGCTGTACTTATGTCATAGTTAATTAGATCTTCTGAATAGGGGCTGGCTTGCATGTTTTTGTTTTGAATGTTCTGATTATGAATGCATTATGTGTTGTCTAGGAAACATCCACTTCTAACATTCTAGCTAATTTTAAAGATTTGACTACATAATAAATCACTGCTTGACTTTATGATACACTTACTTTATGACTTACATGTATAATTTGTTTTCCTGGATTTCATTTGATGGCCGCAACAATTTTGAGAAGTAGGACAAGTATAATTAGAGCCATTTCACAGATGGGGAAATGTGTTCAGAGGTTTACAGGACTTGCTTAAGACAAGGGGTTGCAGAGAACTCAGTCTCTCCACTATGGGACAGAACTGCCCTACAGAGAAAGCTGTACATGTGGTTGGTGTGCATGAGAGCTCTTGCAGACTACTAATCCCGAGGATGGTACAATTTCCTTGCTTTAAAAAGTTATGCAACTTTTGAACAAAATTTTATTTTTATAAGCACTATACAGAACTATAGAAACCCTGAAGTACGTGAACATCTTTGTATTTATTCCCTCATCTGTAAATTAGGATAACAGAAAATTCTACCTTGACAGGTTGTTTGTGGGTTAGATGTAATAATACATGTAAAGCTCAATACTAGTTGTAATCAAAATTATTGTGAAAAAGGAAAATATATAAATCTATCACACAATTGTGGTACATTTTCTCCTAATCTTCTATACAGTGCTATTTCTATACCACTCTTTCCCCTGATGAGCCTGACATGGGACTGGATGGCTTCCTAAAGACAGACTCATAATTAGTCATTTCAGGGATCTAAGAAGTTGTTATTTCACCATTTCCCCCTGCATCTGAGACACTGTGAAAAAGAATCGTGTTGAATTCATTCAGAGTCAAACCTGAAGTTCATTTCATAGTTGCTTCAACTGAAAACACTAGCAATATTAAGTAAATACAACAATATTAAGTAAAATACAACCATATTCTCGTCTATAATGGTTACCAATGAAACAATTTGTCAAAAGAATCAGATAATTTAATTTTTGCTTTCACCAGGCAGCATCAGATTTTTCAACACAACTTATCTCTTATCAGACCCTTTTGTAGAATGAGTCATAGATCCAAAGGAACAAACAGTTCACATGGGCTAACCGAGGCCAGAGCCTTGCACATGCTGGGCAAGCGCTCTACCACTGAGCCACAACGTCAGCCTCTGCATACCGATTCTTTGTTTTGTTGTTGTTATTGTTTTTCTTCCAGTACCAGGAATCAAACTCACGACCTTGCGCTTGCCAGGCAGGCGCTGTGCCGCTGAGCGAAATCCCCGGCCCCTGCATAGTGATTCTTAAAGTGACCTGGTAAGTAAACACTGATCTCAAACCCTTTTCTTTGTATTTATGAGACAAGACTTTCAAAAACTGTTTTCATAGCAGTATTTTTTAAAAGTAATAATATTGAAATCTTTGCAATTCTTCCAAAGTGCTGAGAGCACAGGAGAGGAGTATTCCTACTCGGTGCTCCCATTCGTCTCTTAGCTTCACAGCTGGTAAAATGTCACTTATACAAATCTCACTCAAAGCATCATCCTAACATCATCCTCACATGTAAAAAGTAAGCGTGAGGATAATATTTGAGCCACAAACTGTGAAAAAGAGGTATTTGGGGAATCAAAAAAATCCTCTGAAATATTTTAATAATCACCATATTTGATTTAGAGGTGGTACATTCATTCGGCCCTAATTCCTTACCATCGGTTTCCCATGTCTTTGCCACACAGCTCTGAAGCTCCTTCCACAAAAGGCGAAGTATACAGGTAATCCTCAACTCACAGCACAGCTGTAGCCCTATAAACCCACCGTCAGTTGCAATCATTCTTGCCAAAAATGCCTTTACTAACCTAGAGAGCATCACAGCTTAACCAAGCCTGCCTTAAGCAAGCTCACAATGCCCTAACACAAAGCCTATTTTCATGATAAAGTGTAAAATACTTCAGTACTTACTGTACTGAAAGTGAAAATCAATGCCCTTTTGCACTATGACAAAAATTTTTAAAAACTGCACTGTTAAATCAGAGATATCTGTCCTTTCTTCCCTCTTCTCTTTGCAATTGAACTTGTGGCATACATTGGTCAATAAAATATGGGCTGAAATAGGAGTGTGGTGGTTATAGCCCAGCCCTGAGGAGGGACTGGTATGCCTACCTGCTACCATGTGGCCCTGCCATTGCCTTAGCAGTGAATGACACACAGAGCCCGCTGGCCCAGGGAGAGGAGAGCCTTGCGAAGAGAGCAGACCCAGTCTGCGGCTTAGAGCTCTGCCGCCAGCATCGCCAGAGCCTTCCCACCAGACTCAGTTGCTGTGGTACGTCGCTGTTGGCGATGAACAGCAATAGCCAACCGACACAAGGGGAGCTTTCACTGCGACTATATACCCGCTATTTTTTAATATTCAGGGTTGTTCCTGTAGGCTCTTTGGGGAGTTCATGAGTTTCTTTCCCTTTAATGATGTAATAGAAAGAATGTTTCTGCAATCTGTCTGCTTCCATAATGCCCCTCTTACTATTTTCAGTACTTAGCAAAAAATAATCTCCAGTTATTAAAAGAAGAACAATTCATATCATGCATGGGAATAAAGTTTTGAAATAACTTGACAGTTACAGTTTTTAACTATTTAAACTATTTCCAAGCTATTTCTGGAAGCTGTGTAGGTTAACAACACTCACGACCATTTTGGTTCTTGTGCAGGGAAACTTCCTGATGGGATACCAAATAGTTACGGCTTACAGCGGCGTATGTCCTGGGTTTAATAACTCAACTCGACTCAACTCCACTATTTTAAACAAAACGTGATACAGTTTTGGCTTACTACTCTTTCCCACAAATGCACATATTCAGCTGCAAGTGTGAAGGCAAGAAACTAGGCTAAGAGCTGGCTGACGCCCTTTGAGACAAATGCTGTAGAACTGCAAACTGCTTCCAGCATGGCTACTCTACACTTGAGGTGGGATACTCCTCAGCCTTCTTCATCTAGACTTTCCGACTGAACACAGCGCTCACCACACCAGTGCACTCTCCCAGCACGGTACAGGAGAAGGGGACACCATGCGGAGGGTGGCGGTGGGCAGCGCGGTACCTCTGGAATCCAGTGGTGGTGGTGCCGAGGCTTTCCTGCAGCAGACCTGTCAGTCTGCAGCATCTAGGGTACCAACAAGTGGGCGCCAGGCAACGGGGCCGGCAGACACCACTGCTGAGCTCTCCTCTTTGTGGCGGAAACTGATTCTCTAGTCCACAGCAATGGTACTGGCTCCAGGAGCCTCTTTCTGAGACGATCTGCCCTATAATAACTGTTCTCCAGAGCCTGCTTCTCCAAAGGGTAGCCCATTTAGCACATTGGTCTTCGAGTGGTTTTTAAAGGCAAGGGAGCTTATCTAAATGTGTGCAACACTCTCTAACGGAGAAGAGATCTCAAGCCAGCTCTACTCATTCCACAAAATGTCACACCCTTGCAGGCTGCTGAGAAAAGGGCCAAGTTTTAGAGAATACTGAATGAATTATAGGGTTTGCCTATTGGCTTTTTAAAATTTCCACCTGACAAAAACATACATATTATGCAAATCCAATTCAATAAATTTGCTAATGTATCTAAATATGCCCTCCCCCTTTATGTGGTACCGACAAGTGAACCCGCGCTAGGTAAGCAGTCTGTCAGTGAGCTATAATCACCACCCCTCTTTTAAAATTTTATTTTGACACATATCTCACTAAACTGCCCAGGCTGGCTTCAAACTTGCAATTTTTCTGTCTCAGCCTCTCTAGCAGCAGGGATTACAGGTAGTTGCCCCCACATCAGGCATGTCACATTATGTATTATGTTCAAATGTTGAAATCATTTTTCATAATGCAGCAGAGAATTCTAACTGTCCATCAGCATTCTCTTTTTTTCACTATTTATTTATGTGGATTCTCTCCTTTCTAAATTATATTTCCCAGTTTTAGTCTGGCTCATGGCTACCCTAGTCTCCTTGCAGCTTGGGGCGGCAGAAGATGATCTTCTGGCCAAAAGGATGGAACAGGAGTTCTGAATACAACTTGCGAGTTGTGTCCCTCAAAAGGAATAAGGGACCCGACCCATGCACATTCTAGGCAGATGCTCGTGCCACTGAGCTGCATCCCCAGCCCTTCCATGCACACTCTAAAAGCTTCTCTGCACCCAGAAATGAGCACATTCCAAGTGTCTGGTCTACCTACCTCTCCACTGTTACACAGCGAAGGAAGAACTCCTCCAATTCCCCCCATCTTATCTTACTTTAGTAACATCTCTGAGGGTCTCCTTGTAGTGCTTAACATAAAATCTAGTTCCTTCACTTCAGGTATCTGCAAACAGTATATTGAGACTCAGGATATTCACATAAGCCATTGTTTTCTGGGAACACCAGAGAGCAAAATAATAAAAGCAAGAAAGCAGCTACTCAGTTTTTAAAGATCTGCCATAATGTACATTCTACCATCTTTCTACTTGAGCAATTCTTTGTTTAAACTCTGAACCAAATGCGTGCTTACTCTGACTTAATATCTTTTTTTGGTCTTTTTGAGACAGGGTCTCATTATGCAGTTCAGGCAGGTCTTGAGCTCACTTTGTAGCCCAGGCTGGACTCAAACACACAACGATCCTCCTGCCTCAGCCTCCCCAATGCTGGATTATAGACGTGTGCCACTACACCCAGCTTTAATATCATTTTTGTTCAACTTTGTATAATTCCCTTTAAATAATTTTTGCACTTTTGAAAACCGGTATTTAATCACATCTGTTCCTTTTCCAGGTGAGGACTCTAGCGATTCGAATCTGTTTTCAGGGGCCCATCTTCCATAAAGTGGCTCCACCCTGAGTTCTCAAACTTTTCTCACCCTTCCAATACCACAGAATTAAGGACTATACTCCACCAAAGGAACAGGCAACATTCTGCACAGTTAAGGATGTTGCCATCAATATTCTATTAATGCGTTCTAGCATGATGTACTGACAGTAAATATTAAAATTAATCTTTACCTAGTGGTTTACTCTAAAATAGAAAGGAAGAAACCTACCAAAAAGATCATGAGAGAAAATAACATCTCTGAGAGCATCAGGGTAAAACAGGAATAGAAAATAATAAATATAGCTCTAAGAGGAAATATGCCACCTACTTTCTAACTTTAAAAAATGCTTGGCCTCACCAAGTAATAAGTTCCCACATGATCTGCAGTACGTGAAATAGACGAATTAGTAGCTCACAGGGCAAGTTTGCTGTTAGTAACTGAGGGAATGTTCCCAGGGTGGGACAACAACCAAGTGTTGACTACTCAATTAATGACAGACATTATCACAATGAAAACATATCCAAACTGTTCTTAGGAGCTGTACATAGTTTTAGGTAAGTCTGCCTAGGATTTTCATAAAGTTAGAAATCTGTTCCTTTTTATTACATTATGAAAACAAGAAGTAATCACTCAAATGAGAAATAAAACTAGCATAAGCATCTTCAGGGTAATTTTCTTAGCAAACGAAATAACCAAATTCAAAGTGATATGAGTTTGAACTTACAAACTAAAAGTACTCTAACAGCAGGGTGTAGGTAAAAGAGTCTACTCATACTGACTATGAACCTGAAAACCCATAATGCAAAATGAATGCAAAAGATGTTGAATACTCTGAAAGTGACAAAGTAACGCTCATTTTCTTAACTCAATGATTCAAAATTTTTTCTTCAGTGCAGTGCCTCAGATCATAGATGACAGAAAATTTTTAAAATGTTGAATGTATTTTGTTGTGTTGTCTTCATCACTGTTGTCAGTATATCAATAGTTTACGTATGATAAATTATGTTGTATAGGTACACAAAAAGTAGCAACTGAGTGTGGGGTTGCACACCTGTAATCCCAGTACTGGGGAGGCTGAGACAAGAGGATCGTCACGAGTCTGAGGTCAGCTTGGGCTACATAGTGAGTTCAGGGCCAGCCTGAACTACATAATTAGACCCTGTCTTGCTCAAAAAAAAAAAAAAAAAAAAAAAAAGCACAATGCATTCTAATAGCTAAAAGAAAATAAATTTGTTACTTTTTAAAACTTCACGTGGTATTCAGAAAAAAGTTTCACAATGAGACACAGAACACGCCATCTATGAACAGAAATAGAACAGGGAACTAAGACTCAGGACAATGGCTTCCTTAAGCTCCTCCACTCGTTCATGAACTATGATAAATCCTTTGATACATCTCAAGATCTTAGAAAATAGTTTGGATCGGTGATGATGGCAATACAAATGAATGAACTAGACTAGTGCTTACCAAAGACAGCACCAATTACCTAAGGAAAAATAAATTTTTAAGTCCAACTTCCAGGGATAACTCAATTCTAATTCAACTCCAGGGCAAAGCCCTGGAATCTACATCTATTTTTAAAGCCCCCCAGATGATTAGAAATGATGAGCCAATTTTGAGAATCACTATATGAAATGATCTAGCAGCTCTCTGACAGATACATTTGAAAAAAAAATGCAAGTTTTCTAAAAAGTACAAAAGGAAGCATTCTCATGAAGGAAAAGCAATGGAATAAAACTAGAAGTCACTGATTTTTAGTTTTATCCCCTTTGTTTGGATAATAATCTGAGATCTAAAGAAAAAATATTTAATACAGATTAACCCTCTAAACCGCCTGGAGGGGCCAGGAATGTAGCTCAGAGGCACAGCGCCTGCCTGGCAAGCATGAGGTCATCAGTCTGATTCCAGGCACCAAATAAATAAATAAACAAACAAACAAACAAACTGCCTGGAATGAGAAGCAAACTATTTAAAAAGAGAAGCGTATGGAAAGATACCTGCTTTATCATAAACATTTTACTTTATTAACCCCAGTAACCACTGGCGGCTCCTGCCATGGAAGCCAGAACTTGGCCAAGAAGACCTCCACTTGGTAAAAACACAGAAATTATCCACAGCTCCATCCCCAAGTTTTGTTCGTGGTGAGACTTTTGAGTTCTGACAGTATACTGATGGAATGGAAACACTAGCATTACTGAAGAGCCTACTTGGTAAAATCAAAAGAATCAACAGACAAAAATCTTTAAAAGTCTCCCAAGTATCTTCTACACCGTTTTTAAAGTTGATTTGGTGGTCTGATTTAGAAGACAGAAACTCGGAATGTGGAGATCATCTCCAGGTCTGCTAATATTGATGTAACTGCCTCACCCTGGGATTTCTGTCTATTCAGACTAGTGATTTATTTGTCTCCCTTTTTCAAAAAACCCATATTGGAATATATATTCTTTATTCCAAACATTTCAGCTGGATGTAGTGATAGATTTTTTTCTCCACCCTTCATTTTCCCTTTTCAGGATTCCTTGCTGAAATTCTTTTTGCCTTCTTTTGGCAAAGCACATACGGGCGGGCACCTTTTCAGTCAGATATCCCCGTCCTCCTCCTCCTCTTCTCTTTCCTTCCTTCTTCTTCCTCCTCTTCTTCCTCCCACCTTCCCTCCCTCCCTTTCACTTTCTCCTCTTCCCCCTCTTCTTTTTCCCTCCCTGCTCTTCCTTTCAAATGATTCTAACTGCACCAAATGCATTAGAGAGAGCTAGGGATTTCTTCATTAAATCATTTCTTTAATCTACCTTCTTTCTCTACTTTGTCCTGATTTTTCTAAGTACAGGTGAAAGATACAACCACACTGAGTTACCGTCTTTTTCACAAACACCTCGTTATGAGCGGGGAGGGTGGAAAGGCGAAGTGGCTTAAGATTTGGAGTGATGTTCCACAACCCAGGCCAACAGGGCAAGAACAAATAAGTTCGTTACAAACTGCTAGGGTAAGTATGCATTCCTTCCTACACACAGGCACTACAACTGTTCCACAAGCACCTGCCTTGAATCCAGGTCTGCCTGGAACCCCTGCACCATTCTGCCGCCCTGTTTTTGCTATTACACCCTTAACTGATCAGAGTGCAGTATGGTTCCTCCTTGGATCTCTAGACAGGGCCTCCTCAGTGCACTGTTACTACGCAGTAATTCCAACGGGGCTTTGTAAGATAACGAGAGACTCCGGAGCTATGAGGTGTGATCTAAAAAGACAGTTAATGTATACATTTTTAAAAAAAATTTATTAGCATAAAAGACTTTGCCACAGATCTACCCTAAAATATTCTCCTTGCTTTATACACACTTATCATAGTTCTTGCCAGTTTGTGAAGCAGTTTTGGAAACCCTCTTTCTTGAGCCGCTTTAGTTGGGTGATATGGCTGCCTTTAGATAGTGATTCAAAATGTTTAACTCTGATGGTCATTTTGATCTCGGGGAAGAGCCTAATGTCACGCAAAGCCAGATCTGGAGGAGGGCACACAGGAATATTTTTCATTTTCTTGAGCCTGCTCTCCTATTGGATGGCATTTCTAGTAGCATTCACTGTATTTTGTATCACACTTCATGAACACACAAAAGAGGACTTACGGAACTACTTCAAAAAGTGGCAAAATGAAGTAAGTGTGTTCAAAACAGGGGAGTATTCTGAGGCTCATTAATGGCAGTGCGTCTTTTACCATACATTTTGGTAACTTTTATGTTTTGTCATCTCAGGGGAGATGAAAGTAAACGATGTGACAAAAGTGTAACAAGGGAAGAAGAAATATAACAAGGAGCACAGAACGACTGAAGTTTATAACCTGCAAGGTGATGAACTCTATTCATACCTAATTTTGCTTATCAAATTTCAGAATTTATAAATTTCTATCTAAAGTACTGGCCTCTCCTCTCGCTAGCACCTACTCTACGTAAAATGGAAAAGATGGAGAAATCAATTAAGCTAGATACTTTTCACCAAGTTACAAAGTCTCCTTGGAGTTGAAATTTCTTTCTTTAAACATGGAGTAAGGAATGTATTCACCACCAATCAAAGCACCACATGTAGAACCACTGTAAAATTCTGACCAAAAAATGGGGGAAAAAAAACTCTTTACACAGCCTGACATTTCAAACACTAGACTTAAAAACTGCCCTCTCAGAAAAAAAAGTAACCATATTATCAAAACTATCTTCATAGCATATTACCTTTATTTACTATCTCTTTATTTACTGTCTCTTTCTACAGGAATTAAGCATTTAACTATAAATCATAAAATAAAACAGAGTGAAGCTATTTAAAATAGAATAAAATAAAACCAAAATTAAAATAACATGTCTATGGTCATATTCTGGATTAGACAAAGCCTATCTTCAAGATATCTAGTAACATCCTATTTTTTGTTTGAGTGTTCTGTCTCAGTGTTAACTTGGATTACCAGCAAAAGCCCAAATATATTTATTTAAGGAATAGGTTAAGTCTGGATTGGTTTGTTTTGTGGCTTCCTGTCCTCCCTGAAAACAGTTCAAAGTCATCACTGTGCAATGCAAATATTAGTCATGTTGGCAAAGTACCTTTTGTCCTCTCTTTATTGCTTTTCTCCGTCCTCTAACTTCTATTTTAGAAGGTTATTTTAAACTAAGTACTGGCTTGTTTACTTAAAATGTATTGATAGTAGTTGTCAATGACACATGAATTATTTCCTGGTATTAAATACTGAAGATATTTGAGTATTATTAGTGACCAAGACATTGATTTTAATAAACTACTAATACTGATAATTATTTAAAATATTGATATGCTATAGCATAAACTTTCATTGCACATTGGTTTTGAGGTAAATGATAGAAAATGGTAAGGTTGTAATATTAAAAAAGAAACCAAAATATAATGTTAGAACAGTATCTATCCACAGTCTAATGGTGATAAAACTCCAAGTGCAAGCTGACCACAGTTTACTTTTTCCTTTTCTGGTTTTTTATCTTAAAAATGTGAAAGAGTTTCAACAAGAAAATTTACTGCTTAAAGCTTTATGACTTTACATATATTATAAACATTTTAAGTTAAAATAGATATTATTATAACTGGTTTTTAAGAGATGTTATAAAAGCAATAAGGGTATAGGATAATCAACACAAACTCATCATGTAAATTTGAATGCAAGATTATACTGGTTTCTTATTTATTGGTTCCAAAACAAAGACCAATACAAGGATTAGGACTGTTTAAAAACATGAAAAAACTGATTAATTAAACTTAATGTCTTTTATATTAAATAGTACACAGCTATTAAATATATAAAAACCTTTTAAAATGTAACTTTATCTTGGCAAGCATAATATATGTTTCTTTATTTTGGCAAGTCAAGGACATGAACTAAGAAAGACTGATTAGGTCCAGCCAACAACTATAGTGATTCCAAGTATTATAATCCTTGAATCTGTTACATCCCTAAGGACAACACAATTTACAGTTTTTCCATGACTCCAACTATTTACATACCTCCAACCCAGATCCTTATGCTGAAGGTCAGTCCTATATGCTGACTGCCAAGAGGACATTTCCATCTGCAACTCTCCACAGAAACCGTAAGCTTGTTTTACATAAGACATTATCTTTCCCTTAAACTAGTGATCTGCCCTTTATTCACTTTTACTCCATGGCTGTATCACTTACTTAGGCAACCTCTACCCTATTCCTCCTTCCGTGTTTAATCAATATCTAAGCGTGCCAGTTGTATCTCCTAAATATCTACTGAATCAAGCTTCTCTCACTGAATTCTGTGGTCAAGATCCACAATGCCGTAAGGATCGCCTAAAAACGCAAACCTCTCTGCACACCAGTCTTCAATGGATCAAATTCAAGACTGAAAAGACCCTGTGTCACTTATCATCTGCTTCCTTTCGATCTAATCCTTAAATGTCTTTACATCGAAGTATTTTCTTTTGCAGGTACAGGCTTTTTGGGTTGGAAAGCCATTCATTAATTCCTTGATTTAATGAAGTATTGGTTTCAGAGCTATATTAGACATTATAAGGATTTTGAAAATCATCTTTTGCTTTAGTCAAAGTTCGGTGAACTTGTCACCATAATCTCTAGTTTCTCTTTCAGACACAGGAAAGTTAAAATATAGAGAGAGACCTTCAGATTACTTTCAAATTCTTCCTTTCCAATTTAGTTTAAGGAGCACCTTGTCTCTGATCTTCCTCAGTATCTCCCCCTTCTCTTTACTGCAGTTAGTAGTACCGAAACCTGTTCTGAGCTGTGGTTTGAGTTTGAGTTTTTTCCATTAGTCTGTGAGGCTCCTGAGTACAAAGTCTTATTATGTCCCAGAGTATAGAGTAACACCTGACCCAAGGCAACTGCATTCAGTGAACATCCTTATTTTACGACAACATATATTGCAAGATCACAGCCAGTAATTTCCACAGCTATGCTGATTCTTCAAAGTAATGGCAATTTTTACGCCAATAAAGTGATGCTGAAATTATCTTTATAAGTATCTACTTTTTACAAGCAGTTAAGTGTAGACTATTTTCTTCCATTAAGGCAAAATTTGTCAAGGTATATTAATTTTTTAAAACACTTTTTCTGGCTTTAAAGGACCATAAGCACTAAATATTTGGAATACTCAAAATGGTACCAAAATAATATAAATTTAGTTCAATAGTGAAGCACTTGCCTAATATTCGCAAAGGCCCGGGCTCAATCCCAAGCACAGAGAAAAATAACAGTAATAATATAATAAAAATTTTCAAGTCATATGCATTTGATATATTTCCTTCTATTGCTTTCAGATATATTTTTAAATCAAAGGTTATATATAACATGGTGTATTGCTTTTTTTAGCTAGTATTATACTATGAATCCTTTAATATATATCTTTAATTGCTCTTTGAAAACATTTATGAACGTATATATTATACTCATGTAGCCATTCTGCAATTTACTTAATAATTATCCTTTATGTAGGTAACATCGTACTACTGTAACTACCACGGTAGGACAACATCCTCATACCTAAAATACTGCATATATCTCTATAAGATATATTCTTAGAATGAAAACTACTTGCTCAGAATCATAACCTTTTTAAAGCTCTGGACACAGAAAATAGCTTCCCAGAGAATTTCAAGATATCGACATGTATGTCTATATTATATTCCAGAAGACACTGATTATCTTGTTTAATACTTTTAAAATTTATCTTCACACAGAAGCGGGTTTACACGTATTCTTTCTAGCTGTTTAAGGAGGAGTGGGGGACATGCACAGCGGGGAAAATAGTCACAGTGCCTCACGTCCACACAGCAACCTGGCCAGGCACCCACCTGGTCTTACTCAGTTCCACAGTAACCCTACGAAGTAGACACTGCTATCTCTACTAAAGCTGGGGAAACTGAGGCACACGTAGAGTAACGTTCAAGCAGCCCACTTACTAAAGTGCGTTGCCCAGGACTCCCCGATCCAACCGTTAGAATTCTGTTGTGAGCAAGGTGCGGTGACAGAGAAGCTACTTGATTCTTCCCCTTTCCTTTGCAGCATGTGTGCAGTTTGACAGGTCTTTAACAGGCGCTGCCTCTGTTTCATCTCTATCAAACTACCTCATGCAGAAACCAAAGTTAATTCCGGGAGACTCAGAATGAACAGAGTTGTGAGGAGCGTGATTACAAACCCCTGAGCCACAGTATTCTTAAGAGACCATCAGTACTAACATAGCTGTACGACATAATCATTCATGCATAGTGGCTAATCTTCCCACACAATGTAAAGCGGGGTGGTGGAAACCGGAGTTTTTAAGAAGGTCGTTCAGCATGGCACACAGATTTTGAACTGGGTAAAACGCCAAGTTCTTACCTTTACTATCAATCCTTTTGAGTCAACCAGCCATATTTTTTTGATGGCTTTCTCCCTGGGTAGACCTTCCTGCTCCATGGCCATAACAATCAGGTGAGCAATCCCTAAGGCAGCCTGGAAAAGAGGTTATGAAAACAAAGATTTCACAAGTTGTTCTCCCTGATCTCAAGAGTTACATCTCGCCTCTTCTGTCTTTGTTAGCAAGGAAGTACAAATGGTTCTCTATTGAGTTTGGGAGCAGTATTCACTCACCCACACTGAAGGAAACGGATTTTTCGCACATTTGAGTCGAACCAAATGGCAATCATTTACTCGGATTACAACCACAAAACCACTACTACTGTCTTTTGCTATTTAGCCGCAGAGCCAGTATTTTCCTCTTCTTAATACAATCAAGATCTGCCTCAACAGGAAAATAATGAGTGAACAACCTCATTTATTGAACTGAAATGTTTACGATTAAGTAAAAGCTCCTCTAATTGAATTTGAGAACAACGCCTGGTCACTGGGACAGGAACTTACCCAATTAGGCAAAAGAATGAAACTGACCAAAAAATGAATAGCGTTTATTTACTCTCTTAATTTAGATGCAGACAGTACTATGACATGTCCTGCAAGGTTAAAGAAATCAACTTCCTTTGTATTTGGGAAAGCTTGCGACACTGTGTAAAATCACAGTATCTTTTCAGAAACGAGCAAGTACCGGTTTTGAGTCGTCCAACCATAAATACTTCTTTCCTGCTAAGTATCAAGCACTGGCCTGTGCCATCCATCAAAAACTTTTGAAAATTCAGAGGTCTACTAAAACTAAATATAGGAAGTGTGATCAAAAAAGAGGTGAATGTTTACTTTTAAAAAAATTATTATAGTGAAGTCCCACTGCCACGCATCACTCTCAGAGCACTTCCCCTTGGTTCAGACACACGGACCTCGTTGTTCTTGCCACTCTCTGAAGCAGTTCTGAAAGTCTTTGTTCTTGAACGTCTTTATTTGCGTTGTCATGGTTACCTCCATGGACTGAATGGATTGAAAATGTTTGCCTTTTATCGTCATTTTGATTTTAGGGAAGAACCAGAAGTCACATGGTGCTAGCCTGAGTGAGTAAGGTGAATAAGGGTACACTGTAATGTTTGAGTCCGCCTTTGTGTTGGACGACACACAATAGATTACACTTCCTGAAGACAACCACAAAAGAGGACTTCCTGCACTACTTCCGGAAGTGGCAAGAATGATGGGATAAGCATGTTCAAAGAGCGGGAAAGTAATGTGAGGGGATTAATGGTAATGTGCCTTTTACCATAATACACTTTTTCTAATTTAAGCACTTGCCATATATTTTGATCACACCTCGTATGTAATATTAAGTAAAATAACTCAAGTGTTAAAGATGTTATTTACGCTTGACTTTAATTTCAAGTTGAAAGTGAATATGTGACTTATATTCTAAATAATTTTGTATATTTGTATCTTGGTATTTAAGTCCTAGTTCCTATATTTAATCGTAAGCAAAATGAACACGCAAAATAAAAACACAACATATACAACTTCTAACCAAAGTAATACATTATGTTGTATATAATTGTATTAATTTTTAAAATCTAAAGTATATGAACTTTAGAATTTTAATGTAATATAATCACATATTTAGCCACAAAGTATTTCACCATTTATAACATTCCATAGTTTTTACATACAGATCTCAACATTTTTCCCACAGGAAAGCTACCATTTAAATTCTATTTTGAGGGTGCATTATTATTACTAGGGTCTAGTTTCCTTCTTTCAAATGATTACAGACCATAACAGGAAACAGCATAATTTGGTCTTGATCCTGCTGCAGTTTCTTGCCAACAATTTAAAATGTTTTGGTTTTTTGCATATAAACAGTTATAGTATAAAAGTCTCCAAGATTTCATAAGTTGTTCTATAGGATCTGATTAACAGTTACATTTCACTTCTTCTGTCTTTATTTTTTCTTAAAAGTGCATGTACCCACACACACACACACACACACACACACACACACACACACACTAAATTGAAGTCTAATTTAAAAAAAGAAGAATCTGACACTGAAGAATAGTAAAACCAGCATCCAATATATTAGCTTAAATACTTAAAGGTTTTCATATACAATCTTACATTGTTTCCTGCATGACACTTTAAATATGTATAAGAGAAACCCATGGCAACATTGAATAATCTTAAAATTTTAAACTTTGAAAAAACCTTTATACATCCATACTAAAGTCTCCTATGAAAAATTAATATGCCTCAATACCTCATTTGAGACTCTAATAAAGCCCATAGTTGTTTTAATATACTAAAAACAGGAAAGAGTGCTTCTACCTTGAATTAATAAATAGTTAAAACTAATTTGCATATTTTAGAAACTAATTATATGTTCATTAGTTTAGGAGAACTATTGTACAAGGCAGGTACCTCTCCAGCTCCTTGGAATAGTATTGTTTGATCAGATAGTTTGTTCTTGGTTATTCGAAGAGCTGCAAGGAGACCTGCAACTGCAACAGATGCTGTTCCTGAAACAAGTAATAAATATCCTTGAGTAATCCTCAGGTAGATCCTGCCACGTTCTAGGCTTTTATCCACATCTTGAAATCATCACACAACAGGTTACCTGGTACAGAAAGAGGACCTGTGGTTGTCTGACCCTGCGCTTGCACATGAGGTGAAATTCTCAGGTTACTAACATCAATTTTAAGAGAGCAGCTTACCACTGTCTTTGAAAACTTTCCAAAAAGAGAATTCTGCAACTCATTTTGCTGACACAATGAGTAGGAGCATAGGATGCCCATGCATTCCTATGCGGACTGCAGCTCAGCCAATTTAGTAGGTGAAAGAATTTAGAAAAATAATAATTTGTACGTCAGTTTTCCCCTTTGTAAAATAATATCATTGTACCAGATAAAATAAAAGGAGTAAGTGCTATTGCACTGTTCTAGCTGACGACTCCTGAGGCTTTGAAATCTTTTACAGATCTCCATCACATGAAGGAGGCACAACAGTAAATGCTTTCTTACAGTGATGGTGGTGGTGGTGATGTTTTCGATATGTTTGGGACTTAACTTTTTAATTTCTTAACTTGAATAATTAAAGAGTTAATGACAATTAAAATCTGATATTATTCCATTCTTCAATTGATTTTCTAAGTATGATAATCCTTGGTGAATCCCACAGGTGCTAAATAAAATTAATGTAAGATTTACTTCAGACAAAAAGTCTGTTTTCTTCATCACACCTCACAGGCATAGAAATTGCACCAGTTCTAATTATACTGCTTCACCATACAAACTTTCACCAATCACAGAGTGGTTCTCTTTCTTTGAACATAATTATACAGCTCAACTTCCTTACAGTTCACTCCTGAAATTAAACCTTATAACTTCTTTCAGAGTTTCCAGCTGTATCTCTATATTTTATCTCTCTAAAGAGACATTCTCCCTATCATGTTTCCTAACTCACTCAGTTGAGTAGTAGCTTGCTAAACTTTAAATACCCTTATTCAGATAAAACCTAGATCAGAATAGATTTGATGAATGACACAATAATATGGCATCATATATGCCAAGTACCAAAGATATTCAAAATTTCACCAACACCATATTTTTTCTTTTCAATCTTTTAGTTTGTTTCCTTTTTGCATAATCATAAATAAGACCACAATACATAATAATTGTTGAAGGCCTACATCTTTCTTGTTTTTTTTTTTTTTATGTAGAACATAGATGGATTGTAAAAATAAAATTCTGGCAATTTTGAGTCACCACTGTAAGTAATTAAAACTGTGATAAGTTATATATTATGCAAATGTCACTCTTTTATACAGAATTTAAAATGAACGTCTGTACAAAAATATAACTGCTCTGTGAAAAGAAGATACCATGACAGGGTTAGTCAATATATCAAGACAGATTCACTAGAGGTGTTAAACACATGAAAGAGAATTCAAATTGGAGAGTTACAGATAGTAACTCTGCAGAGAGTTACACAAAGTTACTAGATAGGTCATTATTCAACAATAGGATCTCAAGCTATCTCTATCTCTGGTTCTTTCAAATTAAATGCACCCAAAACAAAACAGAACAACAACAAAAACAAAGTAAATTCATGAAAAGTTTAGATGTGAGGAACTCTACACTCCCCTCCAACTCTGCAACTGTATGATTTCAAGAGTTTCTATAGATTCTATGAACTCCACCAGATATAACCAGTTGGAGAATAAAAGTCAAGGTATTTTCAGTAATCACTGTATTTATACTATTATTCTGACTGTAAGGAGAACTGGACATTGCTAATCAAGCAGGCAGAAAATATTACAAAATAGTTTAAATACTTAAATTACTAACTATAATGTGGTGACTTATTTTCCTATGATTATGCTAGATTATTTTCTATTAAAACTCAAAATGCTTAAGTTCAGACATATTATCCCAAATAAACTAAAGTAAGTCTACTTGATCACAATGGAAGAGACCCCCAGGAGAGGGCAGCAACAAAATCTGAGAAGTTCCAAGGCTTTTGATGGCATATAGCAGCTGACTTAGCTAACTTGAGAAAGATGGATGAATTGTTGACCAGCAGAGGGAATTTTTTTTAGAAGCCACCAGACTGATAGAGCAAAACTCTCCAAAGGCTCACCTATAAAGACACTAGCAAGCTGGTCAGAAATCTACCAAGAGGCAGTTAGAACCCAAACCTGTTCCCCTCTCCTGCTGGCAGACAGTTTGGAAAAATGCTAGCGGCTTGTTTTCCAAAGACAGCCTCTGGACTCTAGGACACGTGGCATACAGGGGGGCAAGATCACAATGATGAAAACAAGATTAAGTGAAATTTATATACTCAACATGGAGACAGTCTTCCCCGGTCTTCTGCTTTTTAGCTCAAAGAACATGCGCAGAAAACTAACGCTGGCACAAAGTTAATAACAGCACAGAGGCTGGAAAAACCCTCTCCATGGAATCTGAGCAACGTATGACAAAAGATCTAAAGAGAGCGACAAGGAGATTCCCTAAGGAAAATGGCCAACAGAGTTGCAATGAATTCTAAACCAAAACCTGTGTAAGATTATTTGAGATCACGAATATAGTACATTTTAAATACATTATTCTTTAACCAAATATTTTCCATAAAATAGTATCTTTCAATAACACATCTGTTTAAAAAATAAGAAAAGAAATCCGTCCAAAGACCCAGTGTAAAAATATTTATTTACATGGTATGGCCATAGTGGTTATGTAATTATTTTTATTGGCAGCAAAATGTAATTTCCGTGCCCACGGTGGGGAAAATATTACATCTGTAGGCATAATGGTAAAAGCACATAGTTTAAAAGGTAAAAAAGAAACATATGGAGAAAATGCCCACAAGGACACAATTTTGGTATGAAAAATTCACAAAATGGTTTGGTCATTTTAGTCAGAACCTCAACACTCACCAAAAGGTTTTCTCTAGTCAGAGATGAGACACATTTTTCTCAAACCTATCTTTACATTTCCTAAGACAATAACACTATGAAATTCTAATGAGAAATCAGCACCAATATGTGTGCAAATTGTATTTTAGCTGCGATAAAAATGAGGTATTTAAATGCCTCTGTAGGCAACCTACACGGGTCTCCTGTCTCTCTCTCAGACAGAAGCTTTCATTCCCTCAGTCAATATATTCTGCTCTTAAAAAAAATATCCAAATGCCTCTGCAGTGCCGAGTTGTAGGGCTGGAGGAATATTCCGAATCCTCAGCATTCCCCAAAACCCTGCTCTTGGCTCCTGTCTCAGACTTTCTCTGCTACAGATATTAATTCTGATGTACCCCAGGCCTTGACTACTAGATTCCTCACCTTGGTTGATGGAAATTTTCACCTTAACTCCTACTTGCCCACTTTGTTTGATGATTTGGATCTAGCATTCCTTTTCTTCAACTGCATTCTGATTTCTACTAATTGTGCATAATGATTCAAAATCATGTAACAATGGTCTGGTCTTTAACTTCAATATGGACATGTTGGGCCAGGGATATAGTTCAGCGGCACAGCGCCTGCCTGGCAAGCACAAGGTCCTGAGTTTGATCCGGTACCAAAAAAAAAAAAAAAAAAAAAAAAGAACATCTCGGTGACAATCACAAAATGAAAAAATTTAACATATTGAAGAAAGGAGTAGGTTTGTTCAATAGCTTACTGGCAGGTAGTATATTAGAAACCACCTCAAAATCAATTATTAAGTGATTTAAGCTGGGCATGACGGCTCACAACTGTACTTGCAGCACTTGGGAGGCTGAGGCAAGAGGACTGCCATGAGTTCAAGGCCAGTCTGAAGATTATATAGTAAGACACGGTCTCAAAAGAAAGTGACAAAAGGCCACTCTGCAAAGTGCACTGCAGTGTGAAGGCCCTCTGTCGTAAAGGGTACCCTCGCGTCAGGGCTGGAACACATTAGGGTGAAGCTGTCTTTCCACAGCTCACATGTACGATTTTTCACATCTGGAAATTTCCAGCTTACTCCCTTTCTGAAATCTTCCAGATATTCACTTTCATGAATAAATACTAAAACAGAAATTTAATAAAAAATGAATAAAGCTAAGTTCAAATAACAAGTACCTCTGTCATGAAAACAGGCGTGAATGTGCACGTAATTAACATGACAAAGAATTTGAGGAAAAGAGCTGTCCGATAACCTTAATGTCCCTCAAAAGGTATACAAATTCATAATTTTAAAAAATCTTACTTTTAAACAGCCATGTCATACTAAAGAATTTTTAAGCATAGTCAATTTTTAAAATATTTATATAGTACATGTCAGTGGATAGGCTATTTTCACAAATAAGTTTTATCCTCAGTAAACACCATGAAAGAAGAAAACTATGGTACCTATTTTACATTTAAATTTGCTTTAACCACCTCAATTCCACATTAAGCTTTATTTCACTTTCGCTGTCTTCCTCCTGAACTCCATGTTGGCACTGATCATCCCTCAGGACTAATTCTTCAAAGGACTGCATTAGAGTCTCTCCCTGGTGGTGGTCTGCAGTCAGCCGTCTTTCAGTTTCCCTCATTACACTCACGTCCAGCTTCGCGGGAAGGTCTTGGCCCTCTTTTCCTGTAAAGGGTCCTTGTGTCTCCACTAACGTCATTTCCAGCTAGCGGCATGGCTGTCACTTCACTGTCAGCCCTTACCCCTTGACTCTCTCTCTATCTGTGGAAATCCAACTTCCCACGATGGCGTTGCCCGATCCTAAACTGTTAAGACTCAAGCGGCTCAGCCTGCTGTCATAACAGACGTGTGGTATTTAATCTCAAGCAGATGGTGAACACGCATCAACTGAATCCTTTTGTATTTCATCGTCAGTTAGATTTCTAGTTTTCCTATAGCACTTCTTCAGATCATACTTCCAATTATACCCTTTCAATAAGAAAACCCTTATATAACTTCTTGTCATAGGTAAGAAAATTAATACTACAGAGGACAAATCTCTACATTGATCGAAGTCCACAGCTAGTAAGGGAGGCAAAGTAAATCAGTCTGACTCTGGAATCCACACTCCTCACCCCACATGCAATAATGTCTCTCAGTTTCTGACTTTCCATTCTTTCAGTTTCCAAGAAAAAATAATCCGCTCCCAACACCAACCAATTCCCTTGCATCTCTATCTTCACTAGCACTTTCCTGAGGCAAGGCACCACCATCATAAAACTGGGTTACAACAGCCCCCCTCACATTTGCTTCCACCCAATCTTGTTTTAGTGCTGTTTGGTTTTGTTTTTTGTACCAGGAATCAAAATCAGGACCTTGCACTTGCCAGGCAGGCACTTCTGTCGCTGAGCTACATCCCCGGCCTAATCCTGTTTTCTATGCTGGAAACAACTTCAGTGATCCTTCCAGAATGTAAACACTCCTTAGTCGCACTCTTTCTTGCTCCTTCAAATTCAAGCCTTTAGACTAAAGGTTGACAAACTTTTCTTGTAAAGGACCAGATAGTAATTTTCAGGGCTTGTGCACCACATAGTATCTATTCTGAATTCAATTCTATTGTTTTAGCAAGAAAGCAGCCATACACAACAAAAACGGGTATGGGCGTGCTACAGAAAAACTTTACTTTAGACACACTGCATTCATTCGTTCTGGCTAGGCTCAGTGTTAATGGGAAAGAATACAGTGATTACCAAACAGCAACATCCTTTGCCTCACAAAGCTTAAAACTTACAGGAGAAACAAATTTTTTAAGGGGGTAAGAGCACTTTTTAACAAAACTTACATAAATATATACAACTGCATCACCAAATATCTATCTATGTGTGTGTTTGAGATCCCATGAGATGGTTCCTAGATACAGGGATTCCGAAGGTCTTCCTGAAGAACACTGTGGTTCGGCTGAGATAAGAAGAGAGGAGGAAGGAGTATCTAAGAAGAAATATCTAAGAAGATATATGGATAGGAACTACATAATAGGAAGAAGTCAGCTCACTGCAGGATCAAGAAAGGAAGTTAATGGCTAGAATGACAAAATAATGAGATTAAAGAGAAAGGTGGGGTTACACAATGAGTTCTGAGCCACATTTAGAGTTCTTATCTTTATACTAAGTACAGTGGAAAACCAATAAAGTAGGAAGGAATGATAAGGAATGATAAGGAAGGAATGATATAACCGCATTTCTATAGCTACAAGAAAACTGCCTTTGTTTCCCACTAAATCCTCTGTAAAAATGTCTCTGGCCAATTTCAGACACGCTTTGCGGAAAACATTCAAAGACAGGGAAGCAAGAATAAATGTGGAAGACACAGGCTTTTACGATACAAAATCAGGAGATTTACGATAGGCTCTCTTTGGTGGAAAATGCTGAAAAAGAGGGAACCACCAAGAACTCACTGATAAGGAGAACACTGGAAGAAGGTCAGGTTTGCTATGGGAACAAGAGTCTGATTTGGGATAGGCTGAGAACCAGAGAACTTTTTACATCAAAGAAGAAATGTTAAGTAAACATATGGGCACACAGCCCTAAAACTCAAAGAAGGTTCTGTTAATCTAATGAATGGACTTGGAGTATATACTTAAGAAGATATACAACAACAAAAAAAATGGCTTGGGGCTGAGCATTGAAGTATCATTTAACAGGCTTACCAAAAAGGATGAGTCTACTACAGAAAAAATTCGGCAGAATGCTGTGTAACATGGAAGCTACTAGGAGAGAGCATCTGGAGAAAGAAGATGAAGCAACATTGAGTGCTGATGAGAATTCATGTAAGATGAACACTGAAAGACACTCACAAGAATGAGTCAAATGGAAGCCATCTGTAATCTTACTTAAGTTACTGGCACTAATGAAGATCTTCCTTATGACCTTGGGCTGTTTCTCCCTCTAACTGTCCATAATGAAACAAGATCCAGACTGTCACGACATGCGATTAGGAAGGTAAGGTATCTAGACAGGGTTAAAAAGTAACGACTTACATAGGAATACAAAGGCAGCCTAGAGAAAGACAGGTGGCCAAGCATCTGCAATCCAGCAGTAAAACATGGCACACACTGCATGGAAAAGCAGCACTTACTAGGATGCAGCTTAGAACCTGTGGCTGGCTGAAATGAAGGCCGAAGAGAGAAGTATACATACCGTCTATTCTTAAACAATGAGCAATATATTTTCATACGCTTCCTTTATTTAGTCATTGTCACTGGGGATTTCATCAGATTTCTGGAGGTTCACTCTTTAGCTCACAGATAATCTTCTACATTCTAATACTGCACATTTTAGAATCACAAGATACTTTTCTCAAATACATGAAATTATGTAAGAAATTATGTGTGAAATCATCAAGGACATAATTCCTGAATTTTACTAGGTGCTTAGATTATACTTATTGAATTAGAAAATTATGAACTAATTTATGAGACCATTCTTGACGATCCATATACAGTGAAAGTTGTATTACCTTGGATATCATCATTAAACGTGCAATACTGGTTTCGATACTTGTTGAGAAGACGAAATGCATTCACGTTGGCAAAATCTTCAAACTGAATAAGGCAATTCATGCCATACCTACAGGACAAAAAAATTTATTTTAGGTTATTGAAATGACATTTTAAAATAAGTCTTTAAAAGTAGCCCATAGAAAAGGCAAAAACACCATTTTCTTTTAAATATCCTATCTAGTTACTTAGTGTAAATAAACAATGCAATATCTGCTCAGCAATTATTTACTACATGCTTGAAATGTCTCTGTACTGGCAGAATTGTCATTGTATTGGCACTGTAAATATAAAAAGATCAAAATTTGATTCAGAAGATGGTGCCTATGCTCAAGGAATTTAAAATTTAGTAGGAACAAATGAAACCTTATATGACAGGTATAAAGAAGGAATTATGTATGTTCAAAGGAAAGATAGTTGCCCTTCTAGCTTGGGTCACAAACCAAGTAATGAATAAACTAAGATTAAATTATACTTATGATATCTAAAGTAGAGATACAGCATTTTATGAAGAGAAAGCTGAAGCAAAATGACAGGCAAAAGGGGGGGAAAGAAAAAAAATTGTTTAAAAAATGTCAAAAACCCTGACTAGTTAAACTTATGGTACATACACATAAGGGTGCAGTGATAGGTCAGGTCAGATCTTTATTCTGGTCCTTTCATGACCCTACTTCAGTTCATGCTTCCCCTCTGCACTCCAAAGCCAGTTACTTCAAGAGTGTCCTCGTGATCTCCCTGGACTCCATTGTCCCTGTTCTCCCTCACTGAATATCTACCTCACTCCACTAAGAAAGCATGAAAATACAGCAGAGTCTTAGCCAGGGTCTCAATAAATTCCTGCAATATTGCTTTCATCTCTGATTATTCTGCGTGATACCTACAGTCAGCCTTAGTCCAGTTAGGCTGCTACAACAAAATACCTTAGACTGACAGTTTCTACAGACAGTAGACTGGAAGGCTAGGATCAAGGTGCCAGCAGATTCTGTGTCTGGGGAGAGTCTGCTGCTCATAGATAGTACTTTCGTGCTGTGTTCTTCCCCGGCAAAAGGGGTAAGCAGTTCCCTTCTTCAGCCTCTGGTATCAGGGAACTAATCCCATGCATGACGGCTTCTCACAAGGCCCCACTTCTTCAGACTATCACACTGGGGATGAAAGTTCAACATTTGGATTTTGGAAGGCCACATAAACTCATACCAAACCATCATGAGCTCTTATGAACATTCTTTACTCTCCCTGAGAGTCACCACCCCACTGAGAGCAAAGTGACAGAAAAGCCTTCGGGCTCGCTTCTAATCTACCGGCAGGTCTCTGTAGCTCTGTGCACATTGGGTCCATCTCTCTTTCTCCACTGTTGTTTTTTTTTCCCTGTCTCCAAGGATTCTCAGGACTCTGATTGTAAAACCACATTCTCTGACCATGAAAACACCAAAGTTACAGTTACTTCTACTTCTTTGCCACAATGTCAAACCTCCTAGAAGGCAGGGTGCTAAGCCCTGTATTAATTTCTCAGTTGCTAATATTATGCTTATGGTTTAAGGCCAGTCTCAAATCACTACCTCCTGGTATCATAATGCAATTACTTTTACTTCCCTCTGATCCTACAAAAATATCTGTTCGTCTGTTATGTTTCTTCCATTTTGTTTACTTCCATGTATTACGTATTTGTCTATGATGGGTTTTCTTTCTAAATAATCATAAAATACACAGACGGGGGCAGTACTGAATTCTTATTGGCTTCTTTCATCCTCTTTCCTTTCTTTCTTCCCCCTTCCCTTCCCCTCCACTTCCCTTTCTTTCTCCTCTCCTCTCCCCTTATCTCCTCCCCCCCTTCTCCCTCTCCTCCTTCTTTCTGAAAGCTTGCACTACAGGAGAGAAGGGACCCAGGCTTCCTCGGGAGCTGCATGTTGCTCAGTTCCTCTCAGAGCCTCTTGGCATGAGGGTCTCCGTCCTTTGCTTCCTTTCTCTCCCCTCCTTTTTTAAAGTGGGAGTTAAACCTAACTCACATTCTAGGCAAGCACTCTACCAGTAAACCACATTCCTATGCCTTTTTTATTTTTATTTTGAGACAAGGACTCTTTAAGTTGCCCAGGTTGGCCTCAAACTTGTGATCCTCCTGTCTCAGTGTGCCAAAGTAACTGAGATCACAGGCTTGCACCACCACGTCCTGCCCATACCCTTCTTGATGAATCGGAAGCCCTGCTTGTCCTTGGAAATCTTGAGCCACTCCATGATACAGTGCACACTCTCTGATCTCAGGAACGGTGTGCTCGATGAGGCACCCGCAGCAGCAGCTGTGCCTTGGTCTGCTCAGGTTCTCTGCCACCTCACAGGCCTCCTTGAGGCCCACGACCATGGGGTAGCACAGAGCCACAGCTGCTGTGGCTAAGGGCTGGGGTCCTTTCTGTTTGTTTTAATTGCAACTAAAACTACACCTTTTTTTTTCTACATCTATTGATCAGTTATAGTTCTTTCTTAAAGATGGTACGTTCACCGGTTAATTTCTGTTGTTATAGTCTTTTATTATTTCAATAAGAGCTTTTAACATATTGAATACTATTTTTTATTACCTATGCTGCCAACAGTTTTCCTAATCTAGTATACTGTGCCCTTAATCATTTAGACGGTGTTTCTATGTGTTTCACCAAAGAAATTTTTGACTGTTATATGTCAAATCTTGCACTTTACTTACAGCTCCTGCCTTTGGTAGCATGTTTCTGGCAGCCGTGTCAACACACACGTAACTCTTAACCCAGATCTTCTTCTAATAGTATCACGGATTTAGAATACAGTTAACCTCAGAGTCTGGTATTACTTTTATATTAGGCCATTGATTAAAACACAAAACAGATAAATCAAATTTTGTTTTCTACCTAATTCAACCAGCTATAGCAGCACCACTTAATAAACCATCCTTTGCCTTCATCACCTGCATCACACACTGTATTTTAAGGCAGAGCCTGTTTCTGTGTTTGTTTTATTATGCTGCTGCTCATGACAACAGCAGATAAAAGACACACGCGCTCACTGTTCACAAGCCCTCTGTGAAGTACTGTTGCTATCACCATCCCAGAGATGAGGAGAAGGTGCCACAGGTATACCAGGTGCTCAGTGATGAGGGTCTAACAGTAACGATCAGTCTACTAACTTGTCTATCATCCCTGTCTTAATTACTACAGCTCTCTAATAGCTTTCATGTTTAATACTGTTAGCCCTCCAATATTCTTCTTCTGAAGTATTTGTTTGGCTGAGACAGTGGTTTGAGAGACAGGCTTAGGAGCCAGAGCTCCTGGGTTGAACTCTTGGCCTTCTCCAATGCTGTGTATCTTTGACTTTTCTGTGCCTGTGTCTTCCATCATGAAAATAAGAATAATGGATTGCGTCATAATAAAGTTGTTATAAGGATTAATTTAAGTGGCAAATGTAAGAGCTCAATACAATGACTGGCACTAGATTTTTAAAAAATTATTTAATGCTACAGAAAGAAGCCATATATAGTGAAATAATATCCTCAAAAGGCCTAGAAGAAAATAACTGTTATTTTACATAGTACATCTAATGATGCTCTTCTCAAGTAAGGTTAAAACTAAGAAATTTAAATAAATACAAACCAAAAGATTTTTTAAAGGAACTTCAAAAGGCATATTTCATAAAAAAGAAAAAAATTCCAACAAAAAGGTCTGTGATATAATTAGATTGAAAAAAATTCCAACAAAAAGGTCTGTGATATTTAGATTAGATTGTAAATACAAGCAATTTTTATTCACATGGAAAAAGTAATGTTAGGTAAAGCTCCTTCCAGTCCTACAGAGTGAGGTTTGCAAATCTGTTCTCCAAATAGCAAGCGTACTGCAGGACAAAACCTTTCAAACAACTATTTCAGTGCTCTGGAAATAAACTAAAGGCAAAAAGAAGGAAATTCTTTAAAGTGAAATAAATAGGGAATGTGAGGTAACTCCTGAAAGGAATAAAACAATTTTTTTACTCATATATATTACACTATTCTTTCACCTTCCAAAGAAACTCTTTACTTTCAGTTATAAAAATGTTAAGAACTGCTAACAGCACTTCTATAGTTATCACTTCAAAAAATGTCAGCAGGAAAGTCAACTTTGTACCAACAACTAAATATCCCCGGCACACTTATGAGCCGATAATCATCCGACTCCGGTATCCGCTGCTGGCTCCTCCCACTTGCCCGACTTCTGAGCAGGCCTTTAGAAGGCAAACACTGTATGTCAGTGCACACCCCCTCCCCGAGGGTTTGCCCCGATGTGTCATGCTTTGGTGGCCAGCACTAGATGACCTGTCATTATGTTCAGAAGGGAAGAACATTGTGGTCTCAGTATGTGAGGAAGAATCAGAACCTTCTCAATTCTATTCCCGGATCTACTACTTACTTGGTTTGATGGTTTGAGGCTTGTTACAATTTCTATGTGGTTACAATGAAATCCCCACAATACAGCTTGCTTTCAGGTTTTAGGACACAATGTGGTCAGGCTATAAATTTATAATGTTTCCTAAGTGAAATCTGGGAATAGACATAGGTAGTAGAGCAGTACACAGGGTACCTTATCATTTACAAAAGCTTATTTTAGAATTATGCCCTGAAGGATACTGCACATCAGTTTTAATTTCATGACTTTTCTCTACACGATGTAGTTAACTCGGATTTGACTCCTAGAGATTAGAAAGAAGCATTCTGAATTCATCTTGCGATACAAACATCTTGCATCATGTAATAAAAAAAAAGCCACATAAGGGATATTTAGTTCCAGTTTGAACCAGCCCTGTCACTACGAAATTATAAGAGTGGAACTCTCTAAAGTTAGCCAATTCAACTCTTCATAACTATGAAAAGAACCTACTGTTTTATGATCAAAATATGACATAAAATAGTGGGTATAAATGACTTTGAAAGGTAACAGAAATACTATCCATAAAATTAACATGTAAAAACTCCAGGAATTTTACTTTTTTGGCCTAGTTAAATCTGACAAACACTGAATTACAGGGACTAATCACTATATCTAGCACTTATTAAGTGCTAGACAGTATACTCCACATTTTATA